GGGAGGACATCACTTACCCAACAGAAAAAGTGTCCTTTCATGCGTCAAAAGACCCCAGTGTAATAGTCGACCAGCTGAGGGCTCGTCTTGCGACCACCCACGCAGCAGCACTTGAAGCTAGCGAAGAGACACGAGAGGCCTACACTGACCGAGGCCCTCTACTTTCCTTTTCGCCTGGCGACCTGGTACTGCGCAGGGAGATGCGCCCTGGAAAGAAAGGAAAAGATGGAGAAAAATGGCGAGGTCCGTATTTGGTTCTCAGACGGAGAAGTGACGTGACTTACGACTTGAAATTGATAAATCCTGATGAGCGAGAACAAGCCGAGTGCACCGTTCATGTCGGTCACCTTCGGCCAAAAGGGAGCCTTGCCCAAATTGTAATAGGCGCGCCGTTTGCTCTGTCCTTCAATAATACAACGCCAGGTGATGAAGATGGAGCTTCCGGGGGTGCAGCTGCACCAGCGAGCACACCAGCAGGGAGATCTGACACAGGGCCCGTGTCCGATCAAACTCCGAGCAGCACTCCTGAAACCTCCAATCAGTCAGAAACACAGAGTCAGAACGATGAAAGTATCTTACCACAAGAAGAGAGCACAGAGCAGCAGCCGCCACACGAAGAGTCGTCCATTGCTGAGCACCAAAAAGCACCAGCACCGCAGTTTGACCTCCTCGGAGATGACGAGCAAAGCATGGACGGCCAGCCTCCAATAGCTCCAACTCAGTTTGTGCCTAATCAGCACGATGCACTGCCAGCGCCGTCGGATGACCAAGAGTCAACCAGGGGGCAGTCCGGGCCCCTTTTGCCCAGCCCGCCTCCAGCTGAGGCAGCACACCCGCCTCTTGCCCCTGGGGGTGGTCTTGAGTCCACCAGGGGGCAGCCACATGCTGCAGAAAAAGCACCGGCAGGCAATGATGATGCTGACGGAGAGCCGCCGCCCGCTCCGAGAAAGCGCGGCAGGCCTCGGAAGGGTGAGGAGAAGCCAAAGGCATCGTCCGATCCCTTCGCAGAACTCGCAGAACTTGCGGGCCTTCACCGTGGTCCACACCAGTTGAGGGAACGGAAACCAAAAATTCGAGACCCAGCCTTCAATTGGGACGCTTGACGAGAACCTGAAATGAAAGAAGAAATCAGCGAGGGACAAGAGAAGAAAATTAGAACGTAATGTTAAATGTGAGTAATTCGTGAGGCAACGCGAAGCCAAACGATCGTACCGCGCTAAAATCTGTATTGAGACACTGTAGCCACAATAGATAAAAGTTGAATCCCCTTTAGTTATAAAAGTTACACTGCGAAACTTGCTGAGCGGCATTGGGATAAGTTCCCGCTCAGCTTTTCGAGAGGGACACACGGATCCACAACTGTGAAACAAATTGCCAGAGAATGCAGTTTGAATTAATAAACTTTGTAAATAAACTGTAAAATATTTTATGTCCATGCCGGTATTAAAATTTAAAAGTTGGAAGGAAGTATTAAAATGAGAAAAATAATTTAAACCGACGCCTAATGAATTAAAAAAAAAAAAAAAATGAAAACTGAAATTGTTTAGGCACGTTTTTTATTTTGAAATAAAATTGTTTAAACTTTGTATGCAAATTATTCAAAATAATTTATGTAAATTGGAAATTCTCAGCGGAGATAAATTAATGTAAAACCGCGGTTAGTTTAAGTTACACAAACACATAATTACACTGGTGAAAATGATGAATGCAGGAACTCAGTCTGCCGCCTTCCGCCTCCACTGCCGCCTCCAATCGGTCCACCTGTGCCGCAACAGCCGCCATGTGCACCAGCCGGCGGACTGCAGAAAATCGCAAAACAGCAGCTCAACACGCGCTGCCGCCGGTTGATGGCCGTCGCCCGCCTCACGCGGCCAAGTGAAAGGCCAAATGTGACGAGTCAGTGGCCTGAAACCGCAACAATAAGCAGATATTCGCCAAAAATCCATCGCAATTTGCAACACTCACCTGTTCGCCGACCCTGCGAAAATCCTCTGCTACGCTGCAGTGCTGCCACCGCAACCCAAACGGAGCGAGCACATCTACCGTCTACCAACTGCAAGCGACCACGCCCACTTCAGACCAAAACAAAACAAAGATCACGCCGCCTCACACTGTCCGATCCTGCGTCCGACTCGTCCTGTAACACCGCCTCCGCCCGTGTCTAACGACAAACTGCGCCATGGACAACGCAGAGATCATCTGCTTGGCGGACGAGTTGACCGTTCGCATCCACAACCGCCTTCTGAACGCCCTTCCGTCAAAGGAAGAACTTCAGGGCATGGTTCTGACGGCCCTGATGGCAGCCCAAGTCGAAGGCCAAGGACGCCAACCACCCCAACAAGAGTTCCACGCCGACCAAAATGTAACACAAACACACACACACAATCGTTAATTTAAGAAATAGAAACTATGATTTGACAAAATTGTAAATTGTTCAAGACTTTTGAAGAAAAACAGAAGAGAAGAATTTTAATGAGTTTTACTCTAATCTTTCTTGTACAAATTGCAAATAATTTCACTCGCTTGTACCCCGCAGAGAAACCAACATCGCTCGCGCAGGTCGAGGTCACGGTCAAGGAGTCCACGTCGCCAACAACCAAATCAAGAACTCCGACGCCGGCTCGGTCCCCGAAAGCTCTCCGAGACTGGCCACGTCGACAGAAGGACCTGAGCGCCCCGGGGACGGGTCGCGTACCAGGGGGCACTGACGTGGTCCAGTCTGAGCTACGGACCGAGAACTAAGACTGAGCAAAACAGCTACATAATTATTTTAAGACAATTTAGGCCATTTGAAAATTAAGAGAGAATCCCTATCCTGTAGTAAAGTCAACCCCACCGAAACTTTTGTATTCTCGCGCGCCGCCACCTGAGCAAAAACTACCTGAGCGTCGCGCCCTGACTGGCGCTGCCTACTTCCGCGTCCTGTCGACGCGGGCCTGCCTCAATGCTGAGCGCCAACGGACAAGTCAAAGTCAGACGGCCCGGGAGACTCACAGCGCAAACACGTACACTTTATCAATCTCCGAAATCGCCATTGTTGAGAAGCAAATTTTGACCAATTCTGGTAATTGTTATTTAAGCACCCAAGAATCCCCTTTTTACAAAACTCTCTCAATTAACAATATTAACGTAACTATTCTGGCCATTTATTAAGCGAATTATTATTATATTTTGTAATTGTTTAGGACTTAAGAAAATATAACTTTAATCATAATTTTAAATTATATCTGTTGTCGTATTTGAAGTCAAACATAAACCCTGAAATAGAATAATAAAGTAAAGTAATTAAGAGTTATTCTAAAACTAAATTAAAAGCAACTAAGAGAATTTAAGCTGAATTAAGAGTAATTAAGATGCACGTGTGCCACACGTGTTTGAGTGAATGTTAAACTAAGAGGTTAAAGCTAAGTAAATTAAACATAAACAACTAAAGTAAAGCTAAAAGGTAGGAATAAGAATTAAACATCAAATTAAGGATTAGCCAATTAGTGGAGACTTAACTAGTCAGCAACTTAAGGGTTAAGGCAAGAGCAAGGCCAGCTTTCTTTCTCAACCCAATTAAGCTTAAACACAAACCCTGAAGCAACACAAAACTGAGTTCTCCTTGGCCAGTCTCCAGCTCTGGGAATAGCGTTAAGTTTGGGCTCGGATGGATGTTGATATTAATTCTGTGTCGTTACACGACACTCACAACTGGGAAGGCTGGAGGTGAATGGAACGAGTACTTTTTACCGTTTGAAAGCGCGGTTAAGTTTGCTGAACCTGGATACGAATTTCATTTTCCACGTTACTTACTTAACATTAGATTATTTTTATTAACTTACGGGCCAAATCGCAGTTGGTCACGCCTCGTTTTACTTTCTGCAATGAAAATTAATGTTAAATCATAATAATGAAAGTAATTTTGTAGTTTTTAATTAAAATTATTTGAAAAAGCGATTAACTTTAGATTTGCTTCATTTAAAATGTCATGATAATGAATTTTAATTAATGTATGTAGGTCAAATTAAATTATTTCTGTTTTTATTGATCAACAGAGGCTTTTTTTAATTTCACATTTCACAATTTACGCTCAATATGAACTGAAGCTAAAATTCTGATTCAATGTTCAAATACTTATTCTTATGAAATTTTTGGGTACTAAAAGGAATTAAACACTTTTATAATTATTGAAACAGACGATTCAATAATTTCGAAATGAATTGAAATAAAATCAGATTTTAAGTTTAGCCGATTTGCTCCAATTTTCATTTTTTTTTATAATATTACATGCGAATTTTGGTAGTTTGCGTGGGCCAGGTGCAGGACGGCCAGCAGGGCCAACAAACAGATCGAACGGACCTTCATCTCTTTGTGCAATCGCAGACTGCATCTCGCGTGAAAGCCAACGTGCCTTTTTATCGGATCATTTTTCGGTGCCCCGAATTTTTTCTCCACGTGATAACAACAGCAGAGACTCTTCTGGATGGGTCAAGTTGAAGAGGTCAAGTTTGGCAGAAGATAAAAGTGTGAACCGTCGAAAAATTGGAAATATTTAAATGAAAATTTACTCCAATCAGATACTTATTTTCTTTTCTTCAAATTTTGAATTGATGTTTATAAATATATTTTCTTAGGAGTTCGAATGAGAGAAAAAAGTCAAATCCAATTTAAAATTTGCCGATGGTAGCCTCCAACAATTTGATGTTTTCATATTTGATATTTATTTACGAAAATAAATTGAAAACAGAATTTAAAAAGCTGGCAAAAAAATTTTTTTTTAACAAATGTGGAAAAAAGGCACGGCATACAAAATTAAAATTCTTTAATAAAAATAAATTTCCACTTTTTCACGAACATCTTTCGTCGTAATAATAACCAGAAATATTTAAATTAAATTATTGAATTGAAAGATGAATTAAATATTAAATAAAGTATTGATTTTTTTCTGTAAATTGAGAGCAGAGATATGTTTGTTATTGTTCAACTTTTTGGCGGGGGGCATTGAAGAAGCTAGTCTCGGATAAAAGGCTTTGGCGAATCGAGTTTGACACACTCAAGTGGAAGAACTGGAACATGGCTCGTCTCATTTCGCTGATCGTGTTGCTCGTCGGTGCCGGCCTGGCCGACGAATCTTCAAACAAGGTAGGAAATTTCCTCACATTTTCTTTCGTAATTCCAATTCCATTTTTTGGTAGGATTTTCAATTGGAATTGTTGAAAATGTTGAACGAGACCAACCAGAAACTCAACCTTTTGACAAAACTTGTACATGATCATGCTGAAGATGCCGAAAATCAGGTTTTAAAATCTTTTAATAAAAATTATAAATTAGTAAATTTTATTTTGGCGCCAAAGTGATGAAGGATTAGAATTGTCGGAAAATTGAATCATTTTGGTAATTCTGCAATTTTTATTTCAGTTCGGCGACGTTCGGAAAACCTTGAAATGCTTACGAGCTAGTAAGTAACTCTAACAAATTTTTCTTTTCAGTCTGAAATCTCATTATAATCAAAAATCCCGCTTTCCTTCAAGGTTCAGCGAAAACGACGCTGTTGTCAAACGGGAAAATGTACTCGTTCCAGCTAGTTGAGGTGAGCAATCAGCATCAAAATGGAAAATTTAATTTTACTCTTTGTTCATGTCGCAGAAATCTTGGAGTTCAGCCAACGAAACTTGCGAAAAGCAAGGACTGCACTTGGCCAAAATCAGGGATTCGGACGACCTGAAGTTGGTGCTGGAAGAGGGCAACAAAGTCAGTCGTCAGTATAAATCAAAAGTTCAACTTTTATCAAAATTGAATCCATCGTTTTCAGAGTACACTGTAAGTTGGTGGGTTTCGGCGAAAAACGACGGAAGCGGAAGTGAAAAGGACTTCCGGTGGCACGACGGGACCAAATTGGACGGGAACAGTTCTTTGTGGAGGAAGGGCGACTTTGAAAATGACGACTGCGTTCGTGTCTATAATAATTTCAGCTACAGCCCCTTTTACAGCCACAACGAGGTGAACTTGTACAGACATCCGTGCACCGATTCCTCAAAATACATTTGTGAAGTTCCAAGCGAATGCTACTGAGCAAAAGTAGCAAAAACTTTTTAATCAATGAAATGGCATTTTTAATTCTAAATTTATCTTATTACAACCGATATTTTTACTCTTCACTGAAATTAATTCAATTTAATTAAAGAAATTATTTATTTATCTATAAAACAGTTAATTTTCTTATTTTTTAAAGAAAATATATGCAAATATATGAATAAAATTAGATTGGAGATTTCCGCTAATAAAAGTTGATAAGATGAAAACATGCAAAATTTTCCGATTTGATTGTCACCCGAGATTTCATTTCTTATCTTCCATTCAGGTTTGATCGGAATTAAAACGCATTTAATCACAAATAATAAACAATGAAATTTAATTGAATTTTTCCTTCAAACTTTTTCCAATTTCTCTCTGTACCCAAAAAAAGTGTTTCAACAGATCTAAAATAATTGATCGCACTTTGCATCAGGACGTCATTTTCCAGAAGGTTGCATCGTCAGATTAACGGAGGCAGAAACGATTTTGCCCATGAAAGGGATCAAGTCGATCCATCGCGTCGTGTCCTGCGGATCAAAGATGCTGTTGTCGTGGAATCCCCGCAAAAAGAAGCGACCGCCTCGGTCTATGAACAGGTAGCGCAATAAACCCCTGCAAGATCAATTTGGTATTTTCGAGGAGATGAAAAGTAATTTACGTACACGTCGTATTGGAAGTGCAGATGGAGTTTCCGTAAAGATCACAAATTTCCCTTTCGATTGTTTCGCCGTAGCAAATTTCCTCTGGCAGCCAATTAGCTCTTCGCAATTTTCCCTTGGTACTTTCCTGTTTATTTACAATTAGATATTTTGAATGCATTTCGGGCAGGAAGCGTTCAAAAAAGCAGATAATTTCAACTGTTAACGCATAAAACTTTTAATATTGCGAATTTTTTTTTGAAAGGATGCTTTCCAAATATTCTTTTCAAAACAGAGGGGTTTTGATCAGTTGATTAATTTGAACTTTTAGCTCTCGGACTTCATTCTAATTAGATCAGGAGACAATCAATGTACAAAATTATTGAAATTTACCAAGAAATCTGAATAATAGAATTGTTGGTCGGCGTCGTTGGTGTTGCCCGAGTTCCATAAACAGGCTGGTTGCAAATTGGGCGTGAATCGCAGCCGCTCAACGTGCAACAAGTAGAACGAGCGAGAGTAAAACCTTCCGATGTCGATCGTCACTTCCTTCATGTCGAGCACCTTTTTTTATCCGAATAAGACGAATTTTATTGGTAATTGAGGCGAATCAGACCTTTTGCGGCAGCAATGCTGGGCCGTGTCCTCTGTGGCAGTTTTTGTCGTAGTGCTTGGTGGTGCATTCGCCGGCGAAAACTTTTACTTCATTTCCAGTCTTGAAGCTCTCGTACTCGCGCTTGCAACTCCCTGCAAATAAATTAATACCAAAAAGTGGAGGGAAATCTGCTTTACATAATAATGAGATGAAGATGCGCTGCGACAGAATTAAAGCTTCGCAATTATTTGGACCCACGAAAGCCGCCCACGGCGGCGTCTCTTTTTTGTCCCATTTGCCGCAATCGTTGTGGCTCAAGTTCTGCTCGTCCAAATTGAAGGCTGAAAACAATTTGATCCAGTCTATTAAAAATTAAAATATCAATAAGAAAGTTAATTGAATTTTATAATTAATTATGAGACTTACCAGGCGTTGCAAATACAGTTTTGTTCTTTCCGTGATTCGGGCATTCAGAGGTCTTGTTAATTGACTTCAAAATATTAAAATCAATCAATTATATCATAAAAATAGCATATTTATTTTCTTAAAATTTTAAAAAATCCACATGTAGAGAGTGGTTTTCAAATTCAAGTAATTTTATGTTTCAAAGTTGGCATTTATATTACTTATTTTTCTTTTGAATGATTTCAAGATATTGGAAAAATATTAATTTTTAAAAAATAAAATTAATTTTAATCCACTTTTTAAAAAGTTGATGTTTTTATAAACTTCTTCTAGTTTTAAATCAATTGAAATTTTTTGTAAAATTTACTTGCTAAATTAAACTGGTAAATTTTTTAATTACTGCTAGAAGTTCTCACATCCCATTTTCTCTCTGGCCTCTGAACCTCTTCTTCATTTTCATCTTCAGCCTGAGAAGAAGCGAAAAGGATGCAGACGAAAATAATCCAGATCCAAACTCTGGTTACCATTTTTCCTCGATCCACTGCTTATGACGGTTTTTTCTAATTTATATAAATATTTTTTATTTGCCCGAAAAGATCAGATTTTAAGTTTATACATATTTAATCATCTCAAATCGTCACAATAATATCGACATGATTAAAATTAATTTTATTTGACTTTTTGACATTTTTTAGATTGGAAATTTGTCGGTTTCTTGGAGTTGAAAATATTCTGATGCGGTTTATTTAATTTTAAAATTTTGCTCTCAATTTCATGGAAAATAATATGGAATTTAGAATTTCAATCGTATGGTAGTAATTTTTCTTTCCAATGAGTCCCATTTAAAAATATTCAGTAATTTTCGAATCTCCTCACTTCCGAAAATAATTCAGACCGGAGGAGGCATATTCAGCAATTTACAACCAAAGCAAAAAAAAAGTAAAAAATTTACACTCACGTCTCGTCGACTCCGTAAATCGAGCTCAAATTACAAACAAGGGGAATGGGAATGCTGAGAATTTTGATTCGAAATGTGCTCGCCATTAATTAAATACAATCGCGAGGCGCGCGTGACGAAATTCGTTCCCCTCTACTTTTTTTAACTTAACATTTGGCACAGACGACGCGTTATAAGTTGGAGCAAAAATTTTTTATAGCGTTGGCATTGAACTGTGACCCTGAATTTATGTCAACGAGTGTAAAACAAATCGGGAAAATAATTATAATTAGATGTTATTATTTATTACATATAAAAATTTTCATATTTCTATCCAATTATCTTGCATTTGGACGCTATTTAAATAATACACATTTATAATATTTATCTGCTTATTTAATTTTTTTTCCAATTCAAAAACATTTCAAAGAAAAAAAAGTTGAGAGATTTAAAATACAATGGCAAAAATCAAATTTGTTAAATAATTAGAAAATAAACTGTATTTTTGTGAAGTAATTAATGTTTTAATTGAAAGCGACTTGATCAGTAGCATTCGCTTGGAAGTTCGCAGATTACGTACCAGGTACCGGCGCACGAGTTGGTGTTGAGTTTTCCGTCGCTCCAATTGTAGATGAAGACGCAATCCTCTGTCCTTTCCGCGTCGTCCTTCCACGACTGGTTGTCCAGCTCCAACTTGGTCCCGTCGTGCCACCTGAAGTCCTTTTCAACTCCACTTGCAGAGTTTTTCGCCGAAACCCAAAAACCGTACCCTGGAAACAAATCAGTCCCTAAGAAAGGGCAAAATTCTTCCTAAAATCTTACATTGAGCAACTCGCTGGCAGTGTTTTGCGACGACTTCTGCGTCCTTCTGGTCTTTGATTGTGGCCAAGTGCAGTCCTTGACTGACGCAAGTCTCATTTGCATAATACCAGGACATCTGCAATAGAAAAAGAAAATCAAGAGATCCTGAGCAAAAATTGCAACCAGTGAACATCAAATTTGCTCTTCAATTAATGAGGGCGATCCAAAAGCCTAACCTGGCCCAGGCTAACTTGATTTAGCCCTGGGCTAACTTAGCCCACCAGCAAAATTGAATGGCGGGTTAATTTAGCATGGGCCAGGTTGGCCTTTTGGATCGCCCTCATTAATTTTTTGTCTCTTTGAAAAATAAATTAAATTTTTTGGCTTTTCACTTAGGTTTAAAATTTTTATCTTCTGAATCTTGTAAATTTTTTATAGCACGGAAAAGCAATGAACTCACAAGTTGATTCCAAAAAATCCGTCTTTTAATCAACTTTTTATTAAAAATGTGAGCATTCAACGAGTTGAAATGAAAAAGTTATTTTTAGAGACTGAAGTTTCTTTTAGAATACCTCAATCATTCATATATAATATCTCGCTACATGGGCTCAATGTAAGAATATTTTTCTACATCGGCTCAATGTTGAGTTATCTCTCGATTCAATTAGGTAGCTTTCTCCATCGTGTTGCAAAATTGAAAATCGAGGATTTCATCAATTTTCAACCGTTTGATTCAATAACATTTAATTCATTTTTTGCTTTTGTCAAGTGTTTTTTTTTTTTTTTTCACTCTGAAAGAATCAACCTACTTCAGTTTCATGCAAGGAATACTTCTTGCCATTGGCCAGCATCGTCAGATCGGCTCTTCCTATAAATTCAATTGGTCGTGTTTTGAATTCACATTGACACGGAAATCTTGGTTGAAAATTTGCATCCCTCCGATTCTGACATATACTTACTGGCAGCTGTGCATCTAATGGAGGTTTTGATATCCTCAAACTGAAAACGATCCAAAATTAAATCTAAAATTCGCATGTGGATAGCAAAATATGAACCTCTTTTTGGTGCTGTTTGGCTAAGTCGCTCAGCTTCCGATTGAAAGTTTCCAAAGTCTGGGAAATGGCAAAATTACAGATTTGTATGTTTTGTAAGGAAATGTAGAAGAGCAGAAAACTTGAAAATTTTTTAAATCAAACCTGATTGTGGCGTTTGTCGACGAGATTGGCCAATTCTTCCATTTTTCGGTTAGTCGCGTTGAAGTTTTTCTTCTGCTCCTCGTTTTGCTCCATCACCAGATTCCTAATTTCAACGATCTGTAAACAAGATTTTCAACCAAATCAGCATAGGAGAGAAAAATTTGATCACAGAATTTTCATTTAATATTTAAATTCAACACTGAGGCATTTTTTCACCTGATCGTAGACGAGTTTTGTCAATCGGTCCAGCAGCTTCTCATTTCTCTGCACCAGCTCATTTGAAAATCCCTCCGCCTTCTCTACATTCCGCGTCTGCAAAATGTATATTCAGTTGGCAATTTTCGGTTAATTTTGTTGCGTAATTGAATCTCCTGATAAATTTGTGGTTTACTGCAAAAACGTATTTATTTCCAAAGGATAGCAACATTCTACAGGGAATTAAACTAATCAAACGGTGTTCTAAATATCGTACGTGTGTGTAAAATATAAAATATTTTTTCCCTACCTGTGGGACGTTTGCCAAGGCGATAGCGAAGAGGGCGGAAAAGAACACCAGCAAAAAACGAAGCATCTTTCTTCGACTCTCGATTTGCAAGTGACGAAATTGAGTCTTTATCAATCGACCTTTGCCATCCAAGACAAAATTTGCGACAAGAAAGAGAGAAAAACATTTCCGAATGAGGATTAGATTTTTAATTGGCCGCGAATTGAATTAGGGCGCTCAGAGATAACTAATAAAATCGGTCAAAATTTTCAATTGTTATGCAAACGTGTTATAAAATATAACGAACCTATTTAATTTTATATTTAATGAAAGACGAATTATACATTAATGCATTTCTATGGCCAATGGTCCCGCCAAAAGCCAAGTCTGTTCTCCTCGTAATTCTTCGCAAGCTCGCCGCTAGAGGCGCATGCAAGTAAATTCTTTTGCAGGACAAGAGCAAGGGCGGGGCCTCCCTATACGAACCATGTTAAGAATGTACAGCTGGTGCAATGCTATCGAACGGAGAACTGGTTCTTGGCTCCTCCCCTTTCGTACCCTGTATTCATCAAAACATTTGAGATAGGCGTGCCGCCTGCACTAGTCACTCTTCGCAACAAAACCAAACAACACTTTTCAAAACAAGGCACTACGTCTCTTTTTCAAAGAAGTGTAGTTCAAAATCAACGCTCGGGATCAGTGAGTGAGTCTCTTAAACGTTTTGTAAAAGTCTTATTTATTCCAATTATCGTTGTTTTTTCTCAGCTGCCCTAATTGATTATTCGGAGATGCGAATTTCATTGAGAAAGGTATTATAAATTTTTAGCAAAAATTTCAATTTTAATAAGATATGCTCCCATTATTAGTTCATATAGTAATGGAATTGCATTTTTCCATGCTACGCGTAGTATTTGGTTTTTTAAATCATATCTTTAGGGTCAGGCCAACAAGACAAAGTCTTGTGGGCTGTGCCCTTTTTCAGCGACACACACACACACAATTTATCTTAATATATTTAATTTGGCTAAACGTTTGTCTCGCGATGATATAATTATCAAAAGGACGGATGAACTTAAGAAACACTTAAATGGTCTAGAGGAAATATTTAAAACCCTATCTTTGATAAAAAAAAAATTAATTAAAATATATATAATACATATTATTAATATGAACGTTTTCTCGATTAATTGGCACAAATTTTTCATGAAAAAATCTCATTATGTTGTTGCGGTAAAATTAGCTAGGGTGCTTTTGTAGGAAGGAAATCAGATTAAAAAAAAAAAAAAAATCACACATTTTATAATCTTTTCTTCTTTTTAAATAAATTATTAATTATTTATCTCTTCACTAGCAGACGTAAATTTTCACGGCAATCACCTGTTAAATTGCAAACTTTTGGTCAAAGGTCAATAAAGCGTAAAAACTTTAAGTAAATGAAATTTTCATCAATAAATATATTAAAATGTTTTTGTTATTTCACTGTCTGCTTTACCAAATTAAACCTATTTGGTTGATCGCAAAACTAGGACGGGAAATATTATTATACAAAATAAATTTCTGGATAAAATTATTTTGCATTACATATGTGAGCAATTCACTATTGACTATAAAAATAATTAATGCAGTTTAACTAAAATCGCAGCGTAACCTTTTATCTACATGTTGTTTTCAGTAAATTTGGCCTCGTCTGAAGAGAAAAATTCCCAAATCATGGGCCTGGAAAAGTTCCAGATTTTCTTTGACCTCGTCCAGGCCGTTTTTTACGCTGGACAAACCGTGTCCGCAAGAATCGAGGTCGCCAACAGCACGCCCATACAAATCAAAAGTAAGCATTATTTTCATCATCAGAAGAGAATTAATAAATTTTATCATTATTCCTTAGCCTTTTACGTCAAGGTCAAGGGCGCGTGCGAAGTGTGTTGGCGTCAGACCAGTCCGCACCAGGTGGACGGGACGGTGCCTAATTACAGCACCCTAGCGTCCTACGACAACAGGTTCGATAAGCGGGGCTACCACGCCTCCGAGGACTACATTAACGATCATTTCGCCATTTTCGGATGGGGTACATAATCAGCAAGTAAACCTTCAAAACTTGCAGTCGCCGATTAACACTAAAGTGCTGAATTACATCATTAATGCTGAAATAGAAATTATCTAAAAATTTTACCAGGAAATTCGCAAAATTATATAAAGCACCAATTTTGCAAAATTTAGAATAACTTCGGAAATTATACAAACCACAAAATAATTAATATATAATTTAAATTAATTAAAACAAACGTATTTAACTTGTAGAATTTTTTATTCTGATTTCATTCATTATGTCAGAAATAATCCAGGCTCAAATTTGGAAAACAATTAACGTCAAATGAAGGTTTGGATTTAAGCTAAATATATGACCCAGTTTTCAGTTTCCTTTGTTAGATTAAAATAAAGGTTTTTGTATGTGTTTTTTCCCTCAAGCTCTAAAATAATAACACTTTAAGATTCAGGCAACAAGGGAACTCTGGAGCCTGGCGAGTACTCCTTCCCCTTCAGTTACACCCTTCCGATGAACCTCCCCTCGACCTTAGAGGCCGAGTTCGGCTATGTCAGGTACACCCTGACAGCAGTCTTGGACCGAGATTGGAAGTCTGACTACAAAACCAAGGAGCCCTTCTACGTCATCTGCCCACTCGATCTCAACTCTTTTCCTCAATTGCCCGTGAGAAATTTGGATGTTTTCGAATTTTTAAGTTGCGATTCAAAGAAGTGGCACCGGTAAATTTATTTTTAAACCCAGAAGAATTGCCACCAAAAGAATTTTGGGTGCTGCTTGCAAAATCACTAAATTAGGTTAAAAATTGAAAAATTGTAGCATATTATTCTGAAAAACTCCCCACCGAGGTTCAAATGCTTTTGGCGTGAATCCGTGAAGCCTGATTTTTAACCCTTGATGGAGCGAATTATTCGGTCGTGACTTCCACGTTGGTCATGAAATTGGGCCTTCTTCCATATTCAGAAATAAAAAAATTTACCATTTTTCAACTTTAAAGTTTGCCTCTAGATTAATTAGTGTAATGTTTTGGAACAGATTACTTTAATTACATAGTTAGAAACAAAATTAATTAATTATTTTTGATCTGATTAATCTGATATATTGAAACTAATGAAAAACGCTTATTAGGCTCCCGTAACGAGGGAGTGGACGAAGAAATTTTGGTGCCTGTGCTGCACCTCTGGTCATGTCAACGTCATCCTGACCGTCCCAGTAGGAGGTGCAGTTCCCGGAGAAACCCTTTTGCCCACTTTGGACGTGGAAAACAACTCCAGGGTCAGCCTGGACGGCGTCTCACTCAAATTGATTAAAGTGCTAATTCCCATTAAAAATTATTTTAGACCAAACTTTTGAATCGTGCCGCGCTTTTCAGTCAGTAACTTACCATGCACGGGCTGGCAGTTGCACGAAAAACATTCAGATTTCGGTCGGCCAGCTGTACCTTGGACCCCTGGAGGCTGGACAGTCCCGCACCTACGAAAGGGTGGCCCTGCCCATTCCGTCTCTGCCGCCCTCCTACTTGCTCCACTGCAAACTCATCGACTTGGATTACTTTGTCGAGGTGAAATTCAAATTTTAATCTTCCGGAGAAACACAAGCTCATTTTTCTAAATTGAAATTTATTAAAGACACGTTTGTTGCAAATTGAAATAAATAAAATAAAAAATTTAAATATTATTGATTCCGATATAAACAAAAATATATTAAAATTTCAATAAAAAGTAAAGAAAAACTTTGTAGGTGCAAAAAACTGGCAAGTTTCCACATATCTCCTCTGGATTTATAATTTAGATAAATGCACGATAAATTATTTTATCCTTTTTATTTCAAACAAAGAGTGACAAAATTATTTAGATTAAACACTTATATTTGCCTTCACATGGGCTCACAATCAGACCTTGCTTTGCTTTAATATTCCTTCTAATAATAAGTTTTTATTATTCAAGGCGTCCTTCCGTCCGGCCGGCTTGCGCCGCAACTTTGAAGTTCAGGCTCCTCTGGTCATCGGCACAATTCCATTTGAGCAGAATTTTGGCTCGCAGGTCCGTCCAGATCCACCCTTGTACCAGAACTTGGACCCTCCCAGCTACCGTGGTAATTTTGACAGGATTTCTTAGCACACATCGAGTCAAAATGCTGCATTTTCAGCACCTCTGTCTTTCGAGGAATCAGATTTTGGTGCCAAAAACGTTTACGACGACTCTGCAGTGCAATAAAACACCTTGGGCGAAAAGAACTTTGCGCCTCTCTCTCTACTCATCCGATTCACCTGCGGCAACTTCAATGTCCTTCAAAGGCAAGCTACGTATACTTTTTATAATAATCAAAAATTAAAATCCACGCGTGATCTGACTTATATAATTTTGGCACTGACCAAAATAAAACAAACCAGGCACTTTGGCTTTTGCTAATGTGATGGAGACATACATATATATTATGCAATGTTATATTTCTGTAATTACTCGCATAAAACAGCTCTGATCCGTGTGTAATTCTATGGAAATGAAATATAAAAATAAAATATTTTTTTGTGTAGCTTTTTACACCTGAATACAAGCTTGATAATTTTGTACGATGGATTCTGATCTCCTATGGAAGCTTGGATATGGGGGGGGGGGGGGGGGCACTTGACCACCGTCATTAGATTTTGATGAAAAATAATCCAATCTTAGCCAAAAGTAGAAGTAAAATACCATTAAAAAGTTCTATTATATATAATTACTTTGATTATACAAATAAAGCTTATATGCATAATTTCTGACAAGCTTTGTTATTTCATCTAGCATCAAACAGATTGTATAATTACACGTGACAAATTAGAAATATAAAAGCTTTAGAACGTGACCAGAAAGATCAGGCGAGGTCAATTGATAATAAACTGGATCGACCTTTTGCCAAATTATGAAACGAATTTACCGAAACCGGCTGAAACAACCTCGTGAAAATATACAAATTAGTCTAATTAATATTTATAATAATTTTAATGAAATTTAATAGCTCGGATCTTATTCAAGCAAGGTTCATTTGCTTGATTTGTTTTAATTTTCTATTTTACAGACATGAGAATTGATGGAATATCAATGTTAAATAAATACATAGAGCTCTCGTCAGTTCAAAATTTGCCGAGAAAATTAACCGTGTTTCTTTGAATAAGACAATCATTTATTATTTTTATTAAAATATCCTATTGATGTCTTAAAACTAAAACCCATGAAAGTTGATTTGATTACAAAACTTCTTGATTTTATAATAAACCTTCAGTGATTTAGTAAAAAAAAAAAGATACTTCTGCCCACTTTGGCCAGTGTTGGTTGAGACAGTGACTTGATAGTTGTGTTTGAATTTAATTTTAATTTAATAAACAAAACTGATGTGCTTGGACAATTTTTGTTTTATTTAAAAGACATTAATTGCTGCGGCTACAGATTCAGTAGCATTCGCTGGGAAGTTCGCAAATGTAGTACAAAGAGTCGGTGCATGGGTGGATGTTCAGTTTGCCGGAGCGTTGATCGTTTTCCCTGTAGGGATCGTATTTGTAATTGATACGAATGCAGTCGGCGTTCTGGTTGTCGCCGTATTGTCGCAACATGGTGCCGTTCACGTCCAATTGGCTTCCGTCGTGCCACTGGAAGTCCTTTTCGTAGTCGTCGCCGGCGTTTTTCGCCGAAACCCACCAACTCTCAGTGTACCCTGAAAGCCGATTCTCAGTCAAATCAATTAATTTGGCAAAATTTTGCACTCACGCGAGAGTCTTTTGCCCTCGTCCAGCAACTTGATCAGGTCGTCCGAATCCCTGACCGTGGCCAAGTGCAGTCCGTGCTTCCCGCAGGTCTCGTTCGCAGCAGCCCAGTTGTTCTGCAAAAGAATAATAAAATAAAAATTGGAAAAGGTGAAAGATGCGCGAATCACTCACAGAGGACAGCAGGAAAGAGTACAATTTGCCATTTGCCAGCAGCGTCAAACTTCCCGCCTCTGGAAAATATTGAGAAAAGGGGAAAATTTCATATGTGAAGTTTTAGCAAAACTCACTTGCTCGCACGCAACTTAAACTTTTTTGGATGTCCTCGTACTGCAATAAATACGCTAGAATTCTTATCTCGCATTTTGGCTTTTGTAAGTATAAAATTCACACAAATATAGTTATATAAAAATTAAACGACAAACGTCGTTTGTGACGAAATGAGATTTTAAAAAAAACCTTTTATGACCGAGGTCTTTTGCTATATTTTTATTTAGATATGCTAATTTAAAATAAAAATTTTGGCAACCTGATCGTGGACGAGTTTCGTCAGCCGGTTCAGCTTTTCGTTTGTCTCGTTGACAATTTTCAAAACTTGCTGTTCTGGAGTCTACAACAAAAAATTTATCATACCATTTTTTATATATTTTATTAATTAAATAAAAGAAAATAAAAAAATTTTCAGTGGTGAAACTTTTTAACCCATTTTACGAAGAATCTAAACAAAGTGAAAATGTGAATATTTTTTTGTCTCTCGTCGTACCTTGGGTGGAGATTCGCTGGCCAGGGCGGCGGCGACGAGCAAAACGAGCAAGGAAAAGAAACGGGCCATGGTCATGAGACTTTCCTCTTGTGTGTCACTCTTGATCGGCAATCGCGTCTTTTATCCCGGTCCTTTATCACTGCCCTTTGCCTCCGCAAAAATATGTGGAGCAAACAAACAACTTCATCTTCGTTATGCACAAAAAACCTAACAAAATATTCACCTTATAAAAGTTACAAAAATAAATATCTGATCTTTCGATTAATTGCAAATTTTAAACTGTGTTGTAAAAGTTACTATATAAATCAAGAAATAAGTGAAAAAACATCTGTGAGAAACCGGAAAACCTAGACGAATAGTGCATTTTAAAAATTTCTTAATTTGATGTTAATTACCCTTTGAATGGTTAAAAACAGTACTTAAAAAAAAATACAGTTGCCACACAAATATGGAGGTACAAGAATATACATATTTAAAATTTCTCAACTCAATCGTTTTAATCCAAAAATATTTTGATACAAATTTATTTCCAAAAGAAATGTTTTTAGGTTTTATTTTTCATTCAATTTTGGCGATTTTAAATTTAGTCCTCGCAGAGAACAAAACCCGGCGCTGAAATGCCCACATTTTTTAGTTGAGAATCAGCTGGATTGGCGGCGATGAATAAGTGGATTAAATACAGGTTGGGTTTTAAGGACAACGAGCCGCCCGAAGCCAAATTCCACTTGAAGGCCGAAACGTTGACGGGCGACTCGGTGCTGCACCACTTTGGCGCGTTCACGTTGGCCAAACTGCTGCCGGACGTCCACAGCGGCACATCTCCTTTGTTGGAAATTAAAGAATATTCCCAGAATATGTCGTGGAAAGAAAAATTATAAACGTACCAGTGAACACGCCGTTGAGACAATTGAACTCGTCGATCGTTTCGATTGAAGCGAGCCGAAGACCAAATTGGCAACACGCGCTCGCCGCATTTTCAAACGAGAACTGCCCAAAAGGGAATGCAATGTTCCGCAAAAAAAGAGTTAATTTGAAATACCATGCCGTTAATCCTAACGTAAGTTTTTCCGCCGCACGCATTTCTGTAGTACACAGTCGAGGGCAACGCTAAAAAGATAAAAAAAAAAAATAAATAAATAAATTATGTGTCATGTTAATTTGAATTTAAAGCAGTCGGCTTATGTGAGTTGTTTATTGTTTGAAAAACAATTAATATATTACGTGTTTCGACCTCCACCGAGAATTATGGCTGCAGCTCGCACCCGAAACATGCAGAGCATTATTTTTTTCCTAAAGACCCACTCCAGCCATTTGAATTGCTCTTTAATCTGAAAGATTGCTAAATTTCGAGTAAAACTTGTGAAGACACTATGCCGAAATTCAAAACCGTTTTGCAATCAAAAGAAAACCTAAAACGAGTGATTCGCGCGAAAAACACGTGAGAATTGAGTTGCCATCAGTTTTGTACAAAAACTGCAAGATTTGATCACATTGGCGCTGCGATCGCTGATTTTGCCACTAATGCCCCACGGCGCTGTGCAGAAAACTTGGCAAAATCAACGATGGCAGCGCCAATGTGACCAAATTCTGCAGTTTTTGGAACAAACTGATGAATCTGATTGGCAACTCAATTCTCATGTTTTTCGCGCGAATCACTCGTATTTAGGTTTTCTTTTGATTGAGACGCAACGGTTTGGAATTTTCAAATAGTGTTTTCACAAGATATACTCAATATTTAGCAACCTTTCAGAATAGAGAGCAATACATAAAAATGACCAGAGTGGATCTTTAAGCAAAAATCTGCTCTCAAAACCCATATTGAGAAAAGGCCGATTTTAAAATTTAATCGACCCTCGATCGTGAAATTCTACCACTATAATAAGTTGTAGTATATAAAAAACAAAATCCTTTTTGAAAAAAATATTTTGGACCTCTATCGAAATTTTCGCTTAAGAAATAACAAACAAAAAACCAATTTTATAAATTTACGTATGTTTTGTTGAAAAGCGAGTCGTTTGTCCGGCTGTTGATGTAAAATCTGCCAGTTACAATTGCAAAATTTTGAAAAATGGCTCACGTCAATCACGCACGGGTATCCCGACGGGCACCTCGCTTCCGTCGGTCGCAACGGCACGTCCTCCTGTGCCAAATTTTACCACGTTTCAAATTGTTGTCAATTCGCACATGTGAAATTCGAATCAACAAATTGGCATTTGGCGATCATTGTCAGTGAATTTCTCATTTTACAAATAAATTATAGTGCACTTTTACAACCGGGGCGAAAGGTTATAATATGCAGCAAATCATGCAGTTTTTTGGGGCTGATTTGCTTCTTTTGATCAATTTTAACCCCAAAATTTAATGATTCGTCCATAAGATTTAAAAACATTGATTATTTCTTACGGCCGACGCGTTTAATTCGACCGCTGCGATCACGTTGGCGACAAGATTTGGGGCCTTTTGCTGGCCGCACTGGTACACCAGGGCCGCCGTGTCGCACTCGTCCTTGCCCTCTATTAATAATTTCAAAATTTTTCTTTGAACAAATTCGTGCGAAATTAAAAAAACACTCACTTAACTCGGCGCACTCGTCCACGGCGATCAGGTTTTGCTGCAGATTGGCGTCATTCGTGGACGTCATTTCGGCCATTTTTATCAGTCCTTCGGTCACCAACTTTCCATTCACCATCTTCAAAAGATTCATCAAAGTTTTAATCTTAAAAAAAACATTTATTTTTACAAATCCTCCGTTTTGCCCGGCGCACTTGATGAAGCACTTTTTGGAATTATTGCCAAGTGAAATTTGATACAAATAAATAATTACAAAAATTATCTACCTTGATTCGAGTGTCGAGTTTGGTGTAGTTGAAAATTCCTGCCATCTCCACTTGAAGAGGAAGCGGAATTTTTAGAAAATTTAACACATTTGTTTGTCTTTCTAGACATTTTGTCGACGGATTAAATTATTTTTGTTCGTTACCGTCGGACACGTTGTAAACGGCGGCGCACTCGTTTTTGATGGCGTTGCCCGAAGTTGTTGATTTTGAAGTGTCTCGAGCCTTTATTCGAATCAAAAATTAATTTATCATATTAATAAAATAATGGACGAAGCACCTCGCAAATGTATTTGAAGGAAGTGGAGCAGTCTTGGTCGTGCAGCTCGGCCCTTTCCGTGTCCACGAGGACGATGGCGCAGTTTTTCTTTGCGGCGCGATCGTCCGGCTTGTTTTGCGCCCAAACAGCTTTGAAAAGCAATTGATTGACCGAACACCAGCCGAACGACCTCTCGCAACCTTCGTCCGAAGCGGAAGTCCAGTAGGCGCCGCCCGGAATCGATTTGTTCGCTGATTGCTCAATTAATTTTTAAATTAAAGTGAAATTTCAATTACAATTGACGGCCGCCTGCAGATTGGCGTTCTCGAAGTCGTTTTCGATGCTCAACAACGTCATTCCCAGTTTGCAACACTCTTTGCTCGCCACCAACCACTACCAGAGATTAACAATTTTAAGTTATATTTTATAACAAGTTCACCTTTAAATTACGGAAATTTATCTATAATAAATTTCAAAATGCAAAATTCGTGAAATTGGTTAATAAAATTCGACCAATATTGATCAAACATTTAATGATGGAGACGTTTTTGTTTCAAATATAATTAAAACAATTAATTTCAGAATTGATTAATTTGCTTACAGACTCGGCCGAAGTGCTGAACAAGTACGTCCTCTCGTTGACGGTGAACCACAGGCCGTATGCTGCTGGGTCTAAAATAACAAATCCAAGTAAAGCAGAAAAGAACATTTATTCTTCAAAATTAAACCCACTCGTCAGATACTGCGTTTGATAATCTGCCAAGAGAGAGAAGCGAGAAGTCTGCAAAAATAAAATTTGAATCAATTTTTCCAATAAAAATTTTTTATTTTTTTATTTTTTACGTCTTTCAAGCAATCAAATGCGGCGCGTTTTGGGGCAGAACAAGGAGGCGCCGGCGTTGGAGCTCCCTGGAGAATTTATTTAATTAAAATTTCAATTAATTAAAATTAAATCTCACCTGGCACGCGAAAATGTAGGAATTGTTGCAATTTTTGTCACTCAATTGCATGGATGAGCTGGTCTTGTTGACGTACAAATGGACGCAATCCTCGCTTTTGTTGACGTTGTCCGGCTGACCTGAGGCCCAAGAGGAACTCACGGTCGAGAGGGGTTTTGGCAGACAGAACTGGAAAATGTCGTTGGGCCACAGTCGCCGGCCGGACGTCCAGTAGTTGGCCGGGTAATCCCAACTCGCTGTACAAATTAATTAATTACTTAATTTTATTTAATTCAACCAAAAGAAAAACACGCACCGACTAATTTATTTAGGCACGCGAGTTTCTCGGCAGATTCAATCGCGATAGGAACCATTCCGAGGCTGCAACACCTTTTCCAATTCGTCTCCCAGGCGATCTTTATAAAATCAAAATACATATTTCATGCAATGTGAAAATTCGAAACACACCGGATCATTTTACTAATGAAAGGAAACCACAATTTCATTCATACCAAAATGAAACATTAATATTTTGAAATTTTTTTTTCAGTCATTTTTTCATACAGTATAAACTCAACCAAATCTTCAAAATTCCTGTTTGATTTTTATTTATTTCTTGACAGCGTTGCAAAAGACACTATGAGTTTTATACGAATTGTAATAAAAAAAATTGAGAGATAATTAAATTATCCAATCAACTCTATTAATTTTTAATTTATTCCAAGTCTATTCTAAATTCGACCCGAACTTTTCACTCTCCATTTAATTCATAATATACAATCATTACCACGCTCTTTCCGAATAAGTAAAGCATGCCGCATGCCTCTTTCCAATAACCATATTTGTCAGCATCTTTATAATTAAAAGGGTTAATATTAAATTAAAATAACATGTTATCATGAGTTTTGTACCTGCGACGACGCCACTGTCGGGTGAAAGCAGCGACACCTGCAATATTCAGAGTTTTTGAACTGAAATTTGTTGATGAAATCTTACGTTTTTTTCGCACAACATATTTTCACAGCTGTAGAGGGCCTAAAGAGAAATGCACAATTAATATCATTTTTTTATTTTTGCTCTAATTCTATTTTATAAAATAATTTCTAAATTAGCAGATCTACTTTTACGCCTGGAGGAATTGTTGTGGTTGTTTGAGTAGTCGTGGAGACTTCAGTAGTTGTGGTTGAAGTTGTTGATGTTGTGGTTGAAGTTGTTGATGTTGTGGTTGATGTTGAGGATGAAGAAGTTTCAAAAGTCGTCATGAAAGTCATCGAAGCCCAAGAAGTAGAGGCCGGTGAGGATTCAACAACTTTAGTCGAGTCAATCGTAGATTCTACAGATTCACTTGTAAAAATTGTCGTTCCGATTTCACTTCCTTCTTGAGATTGATCAAAGTTTCCAGTTGTTGTCAAATCAGATGATTCCGTTTCAATTTTTGTTTCTTCAGTTATTGCAAAGGTCTTTTCAGTTTCAACTGAATCAACTCTCGGGTCTCTCGGTGTTGCGGACATCTAACCATGAATTTCAAAGTAATGGAAATTTGTAGATGAAATTTAAAAAATACTTTTGCAAATTGTTCGGTTCTTGTTGTGGTGCTTATTTTGGTTACGTTCTTGTGCTTCTTGATGGGACTGAAGCAAGAGTTTCGCCCGCAGCATTTCACAACATACATTCGTTTGCCTGCCGAGGAGGCGCAATTATCAGTTTTTTTTATTCTAATATGTATTTGGCCATACTATTTTTCAACGCTCTTATTGATATTGTTCGTTTTGTCTGCATCTTCCCCAGGTTTCTTTTGCAATCACAGCAAATCTATGAAGTGTTGATCAAAGACAAATGATTTGAAAACAGAATTAAATTATAAGTTCCTCTAACTATAAAATCATTTGGTGATAATTTTTGATAAATTCAATGATCTTAATCTTAGAATTAACAACCGCCTCAAAAATTATGATAAATTTTGAAGTTCTTATAGCCATGCGTGCGGCCAAGATGCATCCTGACCAGCAAACTATGGTCAGAATATTCCATAATTTTTCCTAATAAGATTACATTCAAAGCGGTCCCGTGAAATCTTACCATGGACATGAATGATATCAGAGCGACGGTTAAAAGAATAGAAAAGCTCCAATAGCCAGGCTGCATCTTCCTGCTTCGTGTCCAACAAATTAAAACCAAAATTGTGGAAGTTAGCACCGTCATTATAAGTTTTCAGATACATTGGAAATATCACGAAACACGCACAAAACATCCGTTCAACTCAGGACTTGTGTTTATCAAAACATGATATTGTTTTGGTCGCCATGGCCACTTTTATGATTACGAAATTTTGTTTTTCCTAAATTGGGATATCTAACACAGTTCTGTGTTCTCCTTATTTGAGCAGAACTAGTTCCAAATAATTTTGAATCAAAACCTTGCATAGAAGAGACTAAAAATATAAAAAAGTTCGTCCAAAACTTGATATTGAACGTTTTTATTTATTAATGTATTATTTTTATTAATTCATTTAATTTGTACTAAATTTAAATTAAACGATCGAAACTAAATGATTAAAAATTAAAAGACTCTCCACATATTGCATAAAAAATTGTGAAAAGAAATGAGATATCGCAATAACTAATATTTTAAGAGATTTTAATTTCACTCGATCTGCAGTTGTGATTCGATTTGGCAGACAAATGGGGAAAAGATAATTAGAAATTGCCGGAAATTGCCAAGTGCTCTTTTCCATCCAAGGCCAAAATAATGGTTCCACTTTTTCCATCAAAATAATCAGCATTGGGAGATTTAGTTAAAAAAATAAAATGGTATATTGTATACAATTGCAGTGATAAATCAAATTCCTATTTAGTTAAAAGTGATAAGATTTCGGTGGCATATCATATCAAAAATTTGTCAAGAGGCGTTCATTTTGTTTGTTCTTATTCCTATTCCTTTGACAAAGTGAAGACCTTTTGCCAAAACGTGCCTAAACGAACGCAAAAAGACAAAATCAACTTCAACGTTTTAATAAAAATTCATTATTTTGCTTGAGATTTGTTTTCATTTAAATCTGCAGCTTTTTTCTTGCTTCAAATCTGCGTCGCCATCAGGGTCATAGAGGTCAAAGACGCTGATTGAATCTGCAAGTATCAAACTCCATTTTTTGGCGCCTCGCTCCATTAGCTGACGAGACTTTGGAAGTAAAAAAAAAAAAAAATAAATAAACGCCTTTGAACTTTGAATGAGAAAAAATTATTAGGTTTTTATAAAATTAAAAAAAAAACTATTTTCACAATCCACAAATATAGATTAAAGCAAATTCTTTGTACAAGCCAAAAATAAGAACTTGCGTATTTGTTGTTCAGGTGCAGGTGATAAAAGTATTTAAGAACCTCAAAGTGTACGCAATTATTCTGCCAATCTCGATAAGTTTTAAAATCGCCTGAAAAATATAATTGTTTTTGGTTGTTTATTTTCAGCATCCAAGGGCAAAGAAGGCGATATAAAAGTTATTTTGGCAGGCTTGAGGTCATCAGAATATTTATTTTGTCACATTGGAAAGAACCTTGGCCGCAAAATGAATTCGCAAAGGGCACGTGTGGCCTGAAACAAATATAATTGCATGATAATTAAAGCAAAATTTTGTTTTGTTAAATTAAAGAATTTTTGCAATATTTTTAACTGATTTTTCATATTATCATTTTTTTTCTCCTGCAGTACAAATTAAAGTTAAGCTCGGAAATACAATATTGAATTATGTATTTTTCTACAATAATATTATTTGCGTGTCTCTTTCTCGCGTTATTGTTTTGGTCCAGGGCCAAGGGCAGTGATTTAAGGCCTGTTATAAAAGGCGCGTCGTCGGCCCAATTTAATCATTCGCAAATCGCGATTCCGGAGAGAAAAGGAAGAAAGATGCTGCTCCGATTTCTCTTCTTTAGCATGCTCGCCACCGTCCTGGCCGACGACCCCCGTCAAGACCAACCAAGCAAGGTGCAGTAAATAATTTTTCAAAAATCAATTTCATCCAATTCTATTTTTGATAAACGATTTGTCTTAAACTTTTAATTACATTCAAAAAGTATTTAAACATTACAAATTTTAAAGATCTTATTTTAAAATCATTTGTATTTATTTTGGGCGATTTTATTTTTGATTAAATTGTTTCTTCCCACGTAATAAGAGTGCGATGTACATTTTTTATAACTGAAATTCATATTGATTAGTTTCTTTTCCAAAAATTTGCAGAACGAAGAAATAGAGAGGCCGAACCAATTCACAAAAGAACTCTATGATCAGGTAATTAATCAATCCAAGAAAGTAGTACGAATGAAATTTAAAAAAAAAAATTTAACAGATTATGGCGAATATAACGACGAAGAATGATGAGGATGATACAAATTTGAATGGTACCGACAAGAGGCTGCACGAATTGGCCAAACTCGTTGAGCAGCGCCACTTTCAAGTAAGAATTACATCAAAATATTATTCAGTAGAAATTGTTTTAATAAACTCTGTGCCTAAATTGTCTGCAGGTGGCCCAGGAATTTGTGAATCAAGCCACGCAGGTTAATCACAAATTTGACGAGTTGGAAAGAAAATCTGAGCGTCGCCAACTGCAGGTAGGAAATGGAAAAAATCTTTTGAATGCAAATTAAAATAATGAAATTTCACATCCCATTTTGTTTCTGGGTAAAAATATACATTATTTTTTTAATTGCAGGTATTCAGTCATGTGTCCAACCAAGCTGGCGAGACGTACCAAAAGTTGCATGATTTGGAAAAACACGTAGACAAACGCCACAATCAGGTGAACTAAATTATGGAAAATTAAAACATACAAACGCTTTCGTGAGTTTAATTGCCGAATTTAAATGTTTATCTATTTGATTATAAAAAGATTTGCAATTTTCGTGTAGATCTTGGAAAGGGACGAAAAGATGGCAAAAGATAATCAAGAGTCGGAGAAACGTTTGGGGGAAAAGTTCACTGAGTTGGACAAACAACACGTTGAGGTACTAATTATGCCGTTTGCTTGATGCCAAATTCAGTGCTATAATTTAATTACAGATTTGGTCTCAAGTGGAGAAAATTAAAGGGGACAGGAACAAGGACAGAAAAAAGCTGGACGAAATTTCAAAGCTCGTGGAGCGTCACTTGAAGGTGAACAAACAAAACCGCATTTTTTATTTGAGCCAAAATTTCCTTTTCCCAGTTATTTGAACTCACATTCCCGGAGGTCCAATGCAAACTCGCTCGTAAGTTAAAAAGAACCAAAATTATATAGAATTTTTATAAATTTTTCTCCTCAGGTTCAGCCAACTTAGTAACTCTTCGTAACAAGAAACAGTACTTCTTTTCTGCTGGAATTCGAGTAAGCGATCGAGCAATTTTCATTTTCTGGTTAATTTTTTTTCCAAATATAGGAAGGCTTGAGCAAGGCTAACCAGACTTGCACCGAAATGGGACTTCACTTGGCGACGCTCCATAATCAGCAAGACGCAGACTTGGTGGCCGATCACAGCAGCAATTTTGAATGTGAGTTCAACATTTCGAGTTTGCACAAATGCTGAGATTTTAATTGCAATTTCAGCGCAAGGGTGGTTCTTGTCGGGCAGGAAGATTGTTTCGAAAGAGGGGCAAAAGGAGTACCGGTGGCGCGACGGAAGCGAGTTGCTTCTCAACAGCACCATGTGGAACAGCAATGCCAACAGAGACGGCAACTGCGTCTACATCAAAGATTGGGCAAACGGAAGGTTGGCAACCTCTAATTATTGCGAAGAAGTAAAGTTTGATTTCGTTTGCGAACTCCCTGCCGAGTGCTATAATTAAGCACCTGCAAAATTTTTTTTACTTTTCAAATGATCGAATAAAGGCGCATTTTGCTAATTAACCACAATTGTTGATAATTTCCAAGCAGAAATCATGCACTTTGGTTACAGTAAATCAAAATTATTGCTTCCGAGGGAAAATAAATATATTTTTTGTATAATATTTCTGTTTTGTGTGAGTTGATTTCCATCTTTTTTCTATGCTTCTCTCAAAAATCACCCAATTAATTGGCACCTGAAGGACTTAGAACTCTATTAGTCCAGGAAAGAATAGTTTTAACCTAGAAAAATTCATGTCAGTCTGAATATTTTGCCATCTAATGTGGGTGCATTGAGATACATTTTCTGAGATTTTCCCTTCCGCTTCCTTATCTAGGTAAAAAAAAATACCTTTGAAAAGTGGCGTATTTATTATTATTATTTTTATTTTTTTGTAATTTTTCTGTTCCTTGTACAGAAATGAGACCAACGCCATGTGATAGAAAATTTCATTGGCTTTAAAAAACTTACCAAGTTTATTAAAAAATAGCTACTTTTGGCGCAAAAATTGTTGATAGTTTCAACAAAGGTAACAAATGTGTCATATTTTTATTGGTTGTTTAGCTGCAGCTCTTGTGGAAAATATCTTTGAGAAAATTTTTCCAAACAAAACTTATAGGAAATTTAATTGTGCAAATTTTTGTATTCAACATTTTCTTCTAAATCCAAATCGGCAAAAGTTATGATTGCGGAAAAGTTTAAAAACCCATATGGTTAACATGGAGCAGGAAACCTCATATTTCAACTTTTCCGCATTTATTACTTTTGCCGATTTGGATGTAGAAGAAAATGTTTTATACAAAAAATGTGCACAGTTAAATTTTCTATACATTTTGTTTGAAACATTTTTCTCTAAAATGTTTTCCACAAGAGCTAGAGCTAAAACCCAATAAAAAAAAATGATTAATTTTTTACCTTTGTTCAAACAATCAAAATTTTGGGGCCAAAAATAGCCTCATTTTATTAAACGTGGTACGTTTTTGAAAGCCAATGAAATTTCTTATCTAATGGCGTTGGTCTGATGTCTGTTCAAGGAATAGAAACATTACTACAAAAATTCAAAACGCCACCTTTCAAAAGTATTTTTTTTTACCTGGAAAGAGAAGCGGCTGGGGAAAACCTTGGGAAATCTCAGGAAATGTATCTCAATGATGGTAAAAAATCAGACTGGCAAGAATTTTTTCCAGGTTAAAACCATTCTTCCCAGGACTAATCAAGGTTTTAGTCCTTCTGGTGCCAATAAATTGGCTGATTACAGGCAATAGACATTTTTGAAAAAGAAATTTTATTTTGAGTAAATTAATGAACATTTCCAAATCTCGTGTATCAAAACTCTCTGGTAAAAAAATCCTTATTAAATAAGTAGGTATATAGCTAGTATATTCCAGACCATGATTTCTGGGTTGGCACTAATTATGAAACAAGTTCATGCGTAAATTATAAGAAAAATTTTTGTGGAAAATGTTTCTAAATTTAAAATAAAGAAGAATAATAAAACTTCAACACCTTTTATTCCACATTCAGAAACCAATTTTTTCTAATTAAAAACCCTCCAGTTTGCCTGGATTTATTTATTTTGCTTTATAAAACGTAGATAATTCATATGTCGGGGGTGTTATCAACAATCCAGGCAATGTAGTTGGTCACATCGGCTACTAAAGTGTAGCGCTTCGGGTTGCACCCCCTGACGTCACCTTTGCTGCCCTCACTGTCGTTGACCAAGATGGCGACGCCGCGCAGAAAATTGCGTTTGGAAATTTCATCGTACAAGGAAAATCCTTCGCCGCCTTCGCCCACGCACACGCCGCTCTCTGCAAAATTTTGTTTTAATCTTTAAAAAGTAAAAAAATACAACGAAATCCTCACGATTTGTAGGGAATCCGACGCAAAAATTTTCCGTCGGCCGCAGGTGAGTGGAGAAGAAGCTTCGGTCGTTGTTGAAGCACTCCTGGTGCGAAACCACCTGGACTCGCGTCTCTTGAAGGACTTCAGGTTTCGACGAACTCCACACCTTTCCAATTAATTATTGAGCAATCAAATTATATAATTTTTCCGCTCTCACCGAGCCAGTTCTGTTGACGATTTTGTCGAGTTGATAAACGTCGTTCCAAAGACAAATCGGCCGCACCTCATCGCTCAATTGAACTTCGGTGCTCAAGATGACGATGGCGACATCGTCCCTCAAGTCGCCCCTGCTCACGTTGTATCCGGGGTGCAACACTATTTTTGAAACCTGCAGACGCAGACGCATTCGAAAAAAATTATTGAATCAAAATTGAGAGAGAAAATGGAAAATAAAAATATTTTTTTAATTGTATTATTATTTTTTTTTTAAACTTTTCCAAAATATTTTTAGCTTTTACCTGCAATTGTGAGGAATTTTGCGTTCCGAGCTTCACAACCACGTCGTTCGCCTTCAAAGGTTTTCCGTCCTTGCCGATAAGCAAATGGGCAGCTTAATTAATTAAATGATTTGAGTCTATCCATTTTTATGAATTAGTAAAATTGAAAACCTGTGACGAGGGCTCGTTTGGAAATGAAAGTCGCTGCCCAAAAATATTTTGGGTCCGTTTGGAGGGTTAATGTGGCGTGCCAAGGACTTGCTGGGCCCGTTGCAAATCCGCAGCCGGGAAAACTTTGGAAATCTTGAAGAAAATAAAACTTACGTCGATCAAAAAACAAAATTGGAAATAATGGGAAGAATATTAACTTGTTTTTGTTTTTGACTCGGGAGTTTTGGGCACCCAGGCCAAGTCGACGGTCGCGGCGACGATTTGACTCATGAAGGGCAGCAAGTCCGTCAACACCAGAACAAAGCCTGCAATGAACCGCATCATAATTGAGTTCAAACCGCCGCAAATTAAACTTTTTCTAATTGTCCAAAAGACGCAATTTAAAGAGCGAAACCGATAATTTTTGTTTAAAGTAGTTTCGCTGTAACACGATTTCAACGTCGGTCATGAAATTTAGACTTTCGCACATTCTCAGGTATAAAAATATTTACCGAAGTTCCTCTTAATTAATCGCAATGAAGAAAATTATGGGCTCACGTTTGCCATTGTGTTCGGAGAAATACCATATTGCGCGCAGAAAGAATCGCCCGTCGCGTTCATTGTACAAATATTCCAGCTGGTTCCCTGCAAACGATTAATTTAAATTTATAACTTTTGTCTGCATAGGAAAGCGTGTCCAATTTTTCTTTACTTACCCTCCCGTCCAGTGCAGATTGAATTCCCGTAAAGGTCGCATTCCCGTTCTTGGATCGTTCTATACGAGTAACACTTTGCCTCCTGTTTATGCAAAATATGAATTTATAATAATCATTTATTGAATTTTTGCTTTAAAATGTCTTAAAATTTGTGCTTGGAAAACATCGCTCTATATAATTGTTGATTTCACTGACCGGGGCGAAAAGGTTATCGTAAAAGATTTCGTGTTCGTCGTTCTGGTTGTCCCCGTTCCACAGGCAAACCGGTTGCAAAGTGGGCGAGAATTGCACCTTTTCAATCCGCCAAATCAGGACCGTCGTTGTGAAAAATCTTCCGTGCTTCCCTTCGACTTTTGTCACTTCCAGCACCTGCAATTATTTCTCACGCTTAGTTTTTCTATTCAAACCAAGACAGAAATATAATGAATAACTTGAAAATTGTTGTAAAGATGGAACACAATATTTCAATTCATTTAACGACCAATGTAAGGGAAAATGAATTTTTATTTCAATTTTGTGAAGTAATTAGCGGATAATTTTCTAAGAAATTCTCACCTTTTGGCTGAGCAAACCTCGGCCTTCAAAACAAGTTGCCGTGTCAGTTTGGTTGACACAAGCGCCGCCGAAAATCTTTGAGTCTTTTCTTTTGTTGAAACCAGCTAAAAATACAAATCATGTTGTTGTTCCAAGATAAAAAAAATTCATTCAATCTCTCTAAGGCTTGTTAGTTTTGAAACTTTATTTTTAGGGACGAGTTTATATTTTTTCGAGCTCATATAATTAATTATACCTTCGGAAATAATTGTTTGGTCGGATAGGAGGACACTTTCCTGATAAGATCCTTCCGGATCTACGAGGAAAACGGTCCACGGAGTGGTTTTATTGTTTCCATCGCTTCTATTCCAGGTTCCGCAACCGTCAAAACTCAAATTGTCTTCGGCCAAACTGAAAACTGCATTTCAACAATTATTTTCCGTCATTTTGTTCACCAAAACTCAAATCCGAGGGAGATTAGCTCAAAAATTGTCACTAGTTTTTCTGATTTGAATAAATTTTTATTCAATATTTACAGTGAATTTTGACTCAGCTTTTAAATTCTCCGCTTCGACTTAATTCAAATTATCATACCTGGAGCTTCAAAAACGGATTTGTTTTTTCCATAATTCCAGCACTCCGTGAAATTTAATTCCTGTGTAGATTTTAATTTAATTTGTTTTAACAAATCTGATTTTACGAAGGAACACAAAGAAAAGTCAGGGAGGACAAATAGAATAAATTTAATTTTGTTCTGACAAATACTTTGAGGGAAAAATAGCCCACCAGCCAAATTAAATTAATTTAGCCTGGACTTTTTTCTATCAGCTAATTATATTTTTTCGCTATTTCAATTCAAGGTACAAATAACGATCTTCCTTATGATTGAAAATAAAATTAAAAATAAATGCCCAAATAATATAGAATTGGAGCTTGCCTTCCGCAAGCTCAAATAAGGGCATAGGCTGATAAGATACTCTTTGTCATTGCCTGACCCCCCAAAAAATTTTCTGAAAACCCGCGTTTTACTTCTTTTTTTATTTTTGGAAAAGTGAATTATAAAATCAAAATGTAAATATCAAAACACTCACCTTATCCCGCCAAGACTGGGCAGAAGCAGACAAAGTGCAGAGCACGGCCGCAATCCAAATCCACTTTCCACCCCCCATTCTGAACCTGTACGATTTTTTTTAGATCAACACCAAAGTATTTCCAAAAAATTTTACATTTTGAAACTCAACTTAATTAAATTGGAGAAATTTTTCTGAATACTGAATTTAATTTCCATTATTTCGTGCACGAAAATTTGAAATGATCAAAGTGCAAAAACGTAAAGTTCTCGTTATAATTTCCCCCCAACCTCAATAAAAATTGCAATATATGCTAAAATGATTTTAATTTTTTGAAGTATTTTTGAGGGGCTTTTAATCAGAAAAATTAGAAAAAAAATATCCCTCTATAATGGAAATAAAAGGAGACCAACCTGTAGTTCTGAATGCTCGTCTCGATCTGCTGTGGCGAGTCTCGCAAAACAAAAAAGTGAAAATTCTATAGCAGGCCAGGGGCGATTGATAAACCTTGACCCTCTCTCCGCGCAATTGCTAAAAATTTAAGTCACCCAACATTTCTTGTTCTCATTCGCTATTATATTATATTATATTATATTATATTGAAGAGTATAATTATCTTTACCACCGAAATGTGTGTGAAATTTAAAAAAAAAATGCCTCTAATATAGGAATTATAATTTTTTTTTTTTAGTCTGTAATGTTTAATGTAAATTTCACCAAAACCGTTAAGTTCAAATCTTGTTTCACGACTCATTGGCAACCAATTCATCTTTGCATCACGTAAATCGGGACTGCCTCCAAAATATTAACCCTCAATAATTAAAAAATATAATTCTCATTGTTGAAATATCAAAATCTGCCTGAATGATTGAAATTCGATTGGAACAATAATCTCGAGAGTTAAATTTAGGCAATTTGGGTTGTTTGTTTTCAGATCTGCAGGCGGATTCAGATAAACTTACGACCCTTGGCCGGACAAAAGTTCAATTACTCACTTTCGCAACCCAAATTCGCAATCACGCGCGTATTAAAAGTAAATCCGTCAATGTCAAACTATTTTTTTTTTTCAGTTAACGACAAATGAAGTGAATTTTCTTCAAATTAGGACGAAACAAATTTAACCGTAATTAATAATTCACATGGCATGAGTTAAAGTACAACCTTTAAAATTGAAGAAGAAATTCCGTTTTGAACAATTATATTCTCAATTCTAGCAAGATTATTTTAGCAGATTTTGTGCATTTGAAAACTTTTAAAAGTAAAAAGTTTGAAAATATATAAAAAGCGCAAAATATATGTTCAAATTATTTCGACTGCAAATCTCATTAAAAGTACCAAATAAACGAATTGTTTACTTTTTGCCACGATCACCTGTTGCTGGGTGAGAAAACAGAGCTCAGCTAAAAGCTGCAGGTTTGATTCTTTTGCGAATCACCTGCAAAACTGGTCTTGACCTTCAACGATGCCCCAAAGCACGCGCAGAGCAGATCAGAATTGAGCGACCGCGATTTCTATTAAAAATTATCAAATTAATGGTATGAGTAATGAATTAAAATTCATTCCCCTTTTATTGCACAAAAGCGATGCAGGTCTTACATTCCTGTAGAAAGTTTTGAGTACAAATATAAGCAATTTTATTTTAAAATATGTATTGATTTTTCGGCAATGAAAAGGAAAAGTGTTGAATAAATATAAAAAGTTTGCTCATTTGATTGCTCTAAAGATATTTAATATATTATCGTCCTTTTATTTAACAGAGGACCAAATTGAAAAAAGGTAAGCGTTGAAAAAATTTCCAGAAAGACATTTGCAGTAAAAAAAAATTACAGAAATAAATCATTCTGATTAAATTGTTTGTCAAGACTTGCGTGATTATGTGATTCGCAATAAGTTATTAACATAAATTTTAACTCTTATTTGCGTTTGCATCCTTGTCCGGCCAAAGGTCAAAAGTTTGTCCCAATTCGCTTGATCTGAAAACTAACAACCCAAGGTCCTTTTGACTGCTCAAAATCATTTCAATTGATCGAATTGTAATAATTTCAGCATATTTTGAACAGCAAGATTATTTTTTAATTATTAAATATTTGTTTCAGCCCGGCAAAGAAAATTTTAAACTTTTTAATGCAGTTTAAAAATTTGGAAATAAAAATTAATAGAAATAATTGACTTGAATGGAAAGCTGGTCTCCTTTATGCCTAATTAAGTCATCGAAATAAATCTAGAGCTCGCTTTGCGCTCAGCGGCATTTTACAAGATAAATTACTTTGATAATAATTTTTTACTTTCGTTATTATACAAATTTATTTATTGAGTTGCGAATATATATTAAAATTTTGATTTGATTTCGAAATTAAATTCTTACTAGCAAGTTTTGTTTTGACATTCATAGAAATTTTTTTGGTTGAAGAAATTAATTTTTATGATCTATTGAAACAAAATTGTATAAGGAAATATTTATTTACTTATTTATTATTTAAAAAACGTTGAAGTCGCTGGGAAGCCCACAAATGAAGTCGCAGGATTTGGCGTTTGGATGTTTGTAGAATTTTCCTTGGCGATGATGTGGGTTGAGAGGAAAATTTTGAATACAATAAATGTGCACAATTAAATTTCCTTCAAGTTTTGTATGAAACAGTTTTCTCTAAAATGTTGTTCACAAGAAATAGAGTGAAAAAAACCGATTAAAAAAAATGACAAATTTTTTACCTTTAATCAAACAATCAAAATTTTGGTGCTAAAAATAGTCCAGTTTCAATAAACTTGAATTCAGACTGGCAAAAGGCTTTTGATTCCTGGAATAACCTCTTGCTCTTCATTATGCAAATAACGAAACATTAAAAAACGGTTAAAATGCGTCAATTATGCATATATTCATTTATTTTTTCAACAATGAATTTACTCCCTTCTTTTCATCATCAAAATTGTATGTGTTTCTTAAGTTCTTGCAAAATTTACTGTTTCTTTAATAAGAGAGTAAATTATTCATAGTTAATTTTAATAAGTGATTTCCGCAAATAAAAGTACAACATGAACAAAGTGACAAAGAGAAAGCCCCGTTTATTATTATTATTATTTTTGTTTTTTTTTTCAACATATTTTAATATTTAATTTCTGATCTTGAATTGAAAAGTGAGACCAAATTTTTTTGCATCTTCATTCTTGGCTGACTCGTCAACATATCAATTAATTAAATGTGGAGGAAGTCCTGAAACGTCCATCAGCGCCACGCTAGTTTCTATTATGCATGGTTTTTGTTAACGAAGAAATGTTTTTCTTAATTAATCTCTGATATTGGAGGAATTGCGGATTCCCAAATCGACAGACGCGGAGGCGATTTGACGTGCAAAGGGCAGCAAATCGAGCCACGCGGTGAAATTTTTCGCGTACAACCTAGTGAAGAGTGCGCGAAGATAAAACCGGTTTTCTCGCTCGACGTACAAATAGTCCGTGGCCGTGTCTGGAAAATAGAAAATTAAATGAGAAGATTTGCGTAATAAAATGTTTATTTAGGAAATGTTTGGTTTTGTTTCAAAATTAGGGCAACAAATTAATTTTCTTCTTGTTGAAATGAGTGATAAATTTTCAATTTTGACTACATTTAGCAATTTTACAATCAATAAAAATTTGAAGGAGAAACAACAGCCAAATTTTTGTTTATATTTCCAGAGATTATTTTGATGAAAATCTCAAGACATAAATTCACGGCATCGAAGTCGCATCTTGAGAAAATACAAAGACTGAATTGTTCACTTACGTCTTTCAGCGGACGTGCAGATCGATTCGCCGTAGAGATCGCATTGCCATTTCACAATCTTTGGGCGACTGAAACATCTTTCCTCCGGCAGAAAATTTGTCCTTTTCATTTCATACTAAAACGAAAATATTGGAAAGTTAAAAATTTTGATCAAAACAAATCATTCCAATTTTATCTAAAGCGAAAGTTGTCTTCAAAAAATATTTCTACAATTCAGTGAAGCGAAACAAACCGAAAAATAAAAACTTTTACTGACGATGTAAAAATAATGAAATGCTTCGTTTGCATCGTTTCGGTTTTCTCGGTTCCAGAGACAGGCGGGCTGCAGTTTGGCGGAGAATTCCACTTTTTCGATTTGCAACACCGAGATTGGCCTGGAATAGAATCTGCCGTACTTGACGTCCACACTCTTCACGCCCACCACCTGAAAGCAGAATTTTTTGTCAATTTTTTTAAAGCCAAAGTTGCAGATAACAAGTGTACGGTCATTTTTGTCGATTAAATTTGGCTTCTTTTGTGCAAAATTACTTTTCTTGTAATTCACGCACATGGTGAATTCCTTATTCAATATAAAGCTTTTGATTAATTGAATGAAATTATCAACAAATTTCAAAGCAATATAATTCAAAAAATTAAAAAGTATTAATTATATATGACTTGTTTTTTTGCAATCCATCAATTGATGATAATTTTTATTAATCTGAATGCACAAATAGATTGTCGAGAAATTCACCTTTTTCCCGAGAAAACCGCGTCCGTGGAAGCAATTTGCTTGGTCGGAACATTCCATTGCGTAAATCTTCATTTCGTATCCTTTGGCGAACGCGTCATCAAAATTCGCTCCATCTTTAAGTTAATTCAGTAAAAATTAATAACCCTTGCTCAATTATATTCTTACAAGCGACGATTGTTCTGTCGGAAACGAGAACACCGTAACCGTTGTCACCGAGCCAGTCGATGAAAACGTACCACGGAGGAGGTTCGTCGTTTCTGGTTTTGTTCCACCGGCCGCACCCCTCGAAACTCAAATTGTCTTCTGCGAGGCTGAAAACTTGATTCAAGAAATCCCTTGTTTGATTATAATGATTGCTCGAGCTTATTACAATCAAATAAATAACACTTTTTCATAAAACCCTAAAACAGGTGAAATTTCACCTAATTTGGAAAAAAATTTCTGCGAAATGGAAACCTTTTCCGTCATTGGCAACTTTAATAATGAATAATTGACATATTAAATATTAAAAATTAAGTCGAGTGGAAATGTAGACGTAAAAAAGGTAAATTTTTAATGTACTTCTTGTCTGAAATTTATATTGCTAGAAATGGAATAAATTTCTCTATTTTAGCTTATAATTAAATCACGCACAATCTGAGTGGAAATTCGCTTATTAGCTAAAAAAAAGTAAAAAATTTACAAATTTAAATGCAACGGAATATGAACTTCTCTATACCTGGCGCTTCATGAATGGTCTTCTTTTTTTCTAAACTCCAGCACTCGGTTGTGTTGATTAACTGCGTGGAAAATTAATTAATATTCAATTTCGTTTCTTCTCAATTAAGGTTTCTCATAAATTAATTCAAAGTGACAAAACTGGATAATATTTCATTAAAGGAAGAATGAAATTATTATTATTTTGTTTGATCTCCGAGCCTCAATACGTGTGATTCAGTCAAAAATAGAACAAATTTCTCTCACCTCGCGACCTTCTTCATTCAGACTGTAAGATTGGGCAGAATTGAAACAGGTGCAGCTCACGAAAATCCAAAGAACCAAAGTCTTCATTTTTGAAATTCTGCACAAATTGTCTTCACTGCGGCAAAATGAAACTTTTTTTTCCCAATCGAAGAGTGAAAACAGCAGATTGCGGGCGACCCTTTTTATCCAGTGTTGCTTTTGACCTCCACTTTCTGATAAACTTGGCTATGACCTTCGCTAATCCGGCACAGACTTGCAAATCACGTGTTAATTTTTTCTTAAAAAAAGCTTTTTTTCAAAAAGAATTGTTTTCCCAACGATTATTGGCTATGATCGCGAATTTTGCATGCTAATCGGTTCGTAATTTAGAATCATTTCGCGCAGCAAACCAGAAAACTTAATTAACTAAAAATTGGTCCAAACTTTTGTTGGGAAAATTGAACGATTTTTTTCTTCATTAAATCTTCACGGAATTTTTGGATATATTTTACTTTTACTTTATAATTCCAAAAAAAGACTAATTTTCATAAAATTATTGCAGAAATTTTCGTGACTGTCATCTCGGCACATACTCGGTGCATGATTATTTGGCCGAGGGCGAAGAGTTTATCACGTGGCATCAGTTTTAACTCCTTTTTTTACGTAAACTTTTAAAGTTTTATCCCAATAGCAAACATTTATAATTTTTTTTTAATCTCACAATCAGATGAGGAAACTCGATTGCTTAATAATCACTCTGATTGAAAATTTAATAAATATCAAATTATTTTCAATTTATAATTGAAAACTTTCTAAAAGGAAAAAATAGCAATTGATCCCAAATCACATGAATGCGCAATTCCCTGTGATTTCCAAATCTAAATATAACACCAACGCTATTGGATCGTCAAAGGATGAAAACTGTAAAGAATAAATGTCGTCAAAATAATTTCTAACTATTTCTCATCATGTTAATTGGAGATGGAGAGCTGCTGAAAATGTGTTATAAATATTTCATCCAAAAATTTGAATGAATTCTGGAATTTACTTATTTGAATTTTATTCACTTGCAAATGAAAAATATGACAATCTCATATCAAATCTAATCATATATTTACAGAATAAAATTGAAATTTATAATTTTATTACAATTAAAAACATTTTTCAGTGCGCATTTGAATTTTATTTTCTATATTATGCAAATATAATAGTTTCCATTAAAATTACAATGATTTTTACTATTTTTCCAATTGTTGCAACTATTTTTTTATCACATTCCTCTGAAATGAGGTAAAATAAGACACAAAAGAATTACTTCAAATGTATTTGTATACACATTTATAATTCTGCACAATAAAGCAGCGCATTTGATGCAAAATTTGCTTCAAAAATTAAATTTTTGTACATTATGCGTTAGAGGAATATTTATATATTCAGCTAAAAAGCTGCATGTTTTGTTACAATGACATTCAGTAAATATTTAAAAATACTACCACACGTGCGTGACTGAAGCTGCACCACATCATTATTACGAGAAGTTCATTTTAACTTAGCAATAGCTTTTAATTTTAAGACGGCATCAAGCTTTCTCTGTTTTCAGAGATATTATTATGTTTAAGGTACAGTTTGTGTTCAAAACAACAATTAAAATCATCCGGCAATAATATCAAATTGAGATAGAACTTGATCGAAACTTGGAGAACTTTACAAATAGAGAGTATTGCGGCAATAATAATTTATTATGAATCAAGCGTCCTCGCCATCCTGAAAGGAAAAAGACCAAATTTAGCAGCAAAATCGCGATTTAAAAATTTTCACCCCCAAACGTTTTTTTAACCAGGGTCTCAGACAGGGTTCACTTTTACTCTCAAGGGAAGTCCTGATGGAACAAAGTTCTAAATTAGGTAAAGGCAGTCGTGTTTTTATAAAAAAATCCCCACCAAAGTTCAATTTTCAAACCCAGTCAGAATAAATTCCCGTCGCGAATTTATTTAATTCGATTTTGATGTTGGTGATGAAATTTGGCCTTAATTCACATTCAGAAATGAACTAAAACTTCTGTCGTCCCAGTTTTAAATAGAGAGAGATTCTAGGATTGGCGATAGACGGGGTACATCGGCGCGAAGTTCTTGTTCATGAACATGTACTGATTGTCCGACTTCTCCTGGATGCTTTTGGCGCCAAACACGGACTCTTCGTACGACGGAGGCGCTGCGAATTTAAAAATTAATCATTTTTTGTAAGAATAAATTTCAAAACAAAACACTCACGCATGTCAGGGTAGTTGGGCGCTTCATCCAATTGGGGCGCCGAAGGACTGAAGTTCCACCCGACGGGCATAATATTTTCCGCGGCTTGTGGCGCGTTGAACTGGCCGAAGTTGGCCGAAAACGGGATCGTCCCGACCACCACGGGCAGCCGCATTTCGAAATCAAAGTGGAAACCGGACGTGACAAAGTACGCCTGTAATTATAAATTTTTAATTTTGACACGTTTCTTTCGGAGGATTGAATTTTAAGTTTTATACATTGAGGTGATAGTCGAGGTCGATGATGGAGCAGTTGTCCAGGTTGGAGGGAGGCATGGGGGGGATCTGCATGCCGGCCTCCCTGACGAACACCTCGGACGCTCCCCGCTTGACCTTGGGAAGGTACTTCTCGGCAATGCTCACCTTGCACTTCTTGTCGTTCCCTCCCCGAGCTTTGTAAGTCACGGTCTGTAATCAGAAACAAATGAAGAAAAAATTTATTCTCTGGATCAAGGTATATAAGAGGCGAAAATCCATTTTGAAGTGGTTGGAGGCATTTCATAGCTAAAAATCCGTCTCCAATATATGGATTTATTTCTGATGCTCGTTAAATATGTAAATTACAAAGTTTTGCGCCCCTTGAAAGTATGCAACCTGACAAATTAAGTTAGTTTTATAGAATTTAATTCAAAAGTATGGAGAGATAAAACAAAAAACGAGGTTCTAATTTAAAATAATTGATAAATTTTGCTACAGAAGTTTCAAATTTTCGTTTACCTTGATTAATTGAAGTTTGATTTGCGATATGGAGACCCTGGATTTGTTGTCGACTTCGACGGTGGGGGCCAGCGACTCTCCAGGCACCACCCCTCCGCAGGGGAGGGAGAGGGTGGCGTAGACAGGAGCCGAGGTGCAACACATGCAGCAGAAAATCTTGATCTTTTCCTTCGAAAGCGGAGCCTGCGAACAATTTTATATAAAAACATAATTCCTAAATTTTGAGTGAATTTGATTTTACGGCCAATTTGGGGTCGGCGTTGAGGTCGAGGGGGCTGATGACCGTGAAGGCCGCCTTGGCTTCGTAGTCGAACTTCCACGGTCGGTCCACCACGGCCAGGATGGTGTAGCGGACGTGTCCGTAATCGCCCTTGAAGGACGAGGGCAGGTTGCTCGGAAGGACGTAGTTGAAGGGGTAAAAGTGCTCGCCAGGGTTCAGGTTCACGTCCTCACCTTTTGGTAAGGAAAGTTGAATTGTGTTGAAAAAAATGATTTTTTTTAAGTGTAGAGAGCCCAAATATAAATTGATAGGAAAATGGGTTTCTCAAATAAATTTTCATGGAAATGAACCAAAATATTCTATAAAGGGCAGTTTATTTTTTTAAATTTTGACCCACCAACCAATTTGGATAAAATTTGGCAGGCCGATTCCTTTAGGTGTGTAGTGTGTAGAGATAAAATTTCGAATGATTTTGAAAAATTCTCAAAATTGCCTTCTTTACAGGGGCTCCAATTTGGGCACTTTTATAAAAGGAGATTTTTTAAATCAAAAATATCTCGGTTTCTGTTACAGATACACTAATAACTATTAAAACCAAAATTGTTGGAATTGAAATAACGTAAAACTTTGCTAAGGTCGCAGGTAGAAGTTAAAAGGTCACTTTTGCCATTATGAACTCAAAAATTTGCTGCTGAATGAAGTACCTACTATGTAAAATTTAAATTTTCAAAAGTTGCACATGTGAGTAGGAAAGTACATATTATTAAACATTTGTGTTGGGTTTATTTTTAGTTTAAAAGGTTTTCAGGGTCAAAAGGTGAAAGAGGTGGTATTTTGAACTTTTTTTGTATGTGACAATTTACTTTCCATCCACTATTACTTTAACCGCGGCAGACGAAAAACGAAAATAAATTTGTAAAAATGTTCCTGCTGATGCCCTCTTACAAAAATTGTGTCACACTTGAATTTTATTTTTGAAAAGGTCACAGGTCACCGAGGTCAATGAACTTGTGTGACCTGGTCACCATGTGTGATACATGATTTGAATGAAATCGTCAATTATATCATTTTTTGTCATCATATATTATGTCCTAACTCTGGCAGAAAAATATTTATTCAGGTTTAAAGTAAATTTTCACAAAAAAAAGCTTGAAAAACCACGTTTTTCACCCTTTGACCCTGAATAACTTTTAAAGAAAATAGAAATACAGTCACCGTAATATGTTCTTCCCTACTAACATACTCAAATTTTGGCTATTTTAAACTTAAAATATTTATGTACTAGATACTTCAGCAGCAAATCTATGAGTTCATAATGGCAAAAGTGACCTTGACCTTTGACCTAAGACTTTGGTCACCAAGGCAAAATTGTAGTACGTCTCATTTTCGACAACTTTGGTCATAATACTTTTTTACGTATCTCTAACAGAAACCGAGATATTTTTTAATTTCAAAATCTTCTTCAAAAAAATGCCCAAATTTGGGCCTCTGTAAAGCATGCAATTTTGAGGGATTTTTCAAATCTTTCGAAACCTTTGCTAAAGGAATCAGCCCGCCAAATTTTATCAAAATCGGTTGACCCACGCCTGAAGTGGGTCAAAATAAAAACTGCCATTTATTTATTTTGAAAAAAAATTAAGGAACTCTTTTTCTATTTGTTTTTTTAATTTACAAGATTAAAATTTTACCGCTGCCGAGTACGTTGAACTGCGTCTCAAAGTAAGTTTCCTCCGAGGAAAAAATCTCCGTGACTTCATTGGTGTTGCGATGGTTGGTAGGGCGGGGGCTGCTCGCTTGCTCCGTGACCTCCGACCAGTTCACTTCGGCCCTGCCCTTGAGCTTGACATTGATTCCTTTTAGGGAAAAACTTTTTCAGGTTCAATTGCACACTTCATAAATTAACTTTAAATGTTTTGCAACGAAAAAATTTATTTTATTTCATGAAAGGCACGTTTTGGTCACCTCGGAAACATTTGGGCGTGCTGTTGATGACCACAATTCGGCCGGTCACGGTTTGGCCGGCGTAGAAAACGGCCTGCGGGTTGTCAAAGACGATTTCGAACCTCTCCAGGCCCATTTCGCCGCGAGTTTTCAACTCCGAAAAGACCGAATAAATTTATAATGAAGTATAAAATAAACACGCGACCGGCCGCCCGAATATTTTTAACGTGAACCAGGGCCGTGGCACGGCCATATGGGAAACTCGTCCCCGCTAAATACGGAAATATCGCGTTGACTAACTGCCAGAGGGCAGCACAAAACGCTTTTCGATCGTCACGACCCTGGTGGCGGCCACTGAAGCTCACGGTACAACAAGCTGCCGGCTGCCATATTGAATCGAGAAACGAAGCGCGGGAAGCACGTTTCTTTGACAGTTTGGCCGCTTTCCCACGGCCGCAGGCCGTGACAGGCCGAATTCTTGTCGCGCACGAGTGGCCAAAGAGCCAAGGAGTATTCTTAACAGCCACATCATCGGCCCAGGGGCCTACTTCAGCCCCGGCGGGCACGCAATGTGCGAGGTCGTCGGCGCAAGATTACTGAAAACAAACTTTTGGTGAGTGGAAATTTTCTGGAAAATTTCAATAATCATTTATTAATTGCACTTTATTCCAGAGACTGCGCCAGTTTCCCGTCGTGCGCTTCCAATTTAATTTTTCCAACCTGGGAGAGAATACGAGAAAAACGCTGGTGCAAATAAAAATATGTAGTCAACCAAATTGTGGTAAACTGATCTATTTTTCTTCTTCTAATTTTCATTTTTTGCAGGAATCGGAGTTTCTTTTTATTAACTGAGAGTGCAGTTCATTATCTTGTGTTTGGATACCTCATTTTATCACTTTTTGATATTGGTAGGATCATGAATTTAAGATGTGAACTTTTATGATGTTCTTGTCAACACCATGAATAAATTACCTCTTCAGGATTACAGGTATTTGGTTTATTTGCATTAATTTTGCTCTTGTGGGGGGTTTGGTATCCCTAAGTGTCAAGTGAACATCCATTAAGTTGTTTACCACTGGCATGCATCAAATTTGTTGTTAATAAAGATTTAAAAAAAAAATGCGTTTACATCAAATTTGTTGTTAATAAAGATTTTTAAAAAAATAAAATTATTCGTTTACAATTGCAATATAAATTTTCTTCCCTCAAAAGAAATGTTTTGTATCTTTCTGCTGACTAACCTCACAAGCAAATTCTTGATGTTGATTCCATGTTGAATTTGTAAATGATGTAAAGATGGTAGTTTTTTATTTATTACTATACATAATAAACGAAATAAAATCAAATTTGAATAATTCTGTACAATTAAATAAAAATATAACAACTGTGGAGCACGTCTGGCTAGAATTTAAATGTATAAACCAATAATTTTATTGTTGGATAAGACAAAAGCAACCATCAAATCAACAGTTGACAATATTTTTCATTTTCATCGAGACATTCAAATTTCAACTTCCTTTAAACGCGATGTCTCAGATCCAGTATCCTGTTGGAGGAGGAAATATTCAAAAACCAAGTACACCTCTCGCAGTTCATGATCTTACTAATTCCAAAAAAACCAAGGATAAAATGATAAATAATGAGGTGTCCAAACACAAGGTGATGAACTTCACTCTCAGTTAATAAAAAGAAACTCCGATTCCTGCAAAAAATGAAAATTAGAAGAAGAAAAATAGATCAGTTTACCACAATTTGGTTGACTACATATTTTTATTTGCACCAGCGTTTTTCTCGTATTCTCTCCCAGGTTGGAAAAATTAAATTGGAAGCGCACGACGGGAAACTGGCGCAGTCTCTGGAATAAAGTGCAATTAATAAATGATTATTGAAATTTTCCAGAAAATTTCCACTCACCAAAAGTTTGTTTTCAGTAATCTTGCGCCGACGACCTCGCACATTGCGTGCCCGCCGGGGCTGAAGTAGGCCCCTGGGCCGATGATGTGGCTGTTAAGAATACTCCTTGGCTCTTTGGCCACTCGTGCGCGACAAGAATTCGGCCTGTCACGGCCTGCGGCCGTGGGAAAGCGGCCAAACTGTCAAAGAAACGTGCTTCCCGCGCTTCGTTTCTCGATTCAATATGGCAGCCGGCAGCTTGTTGTACCGTGAGCTTCAGTGGCCGCCACCAGGGTCGTGACGATCGAAAAGCGTTTTGTGCTGCCCTCTGGCAGTTAGTCAACGCGATATTTCCGTATTTAGCGGGGACGAGTTTCCCATATGGCCGTGCCACGGCCCTGACGTGAACTCAACAGACACAACAAAAGCTGGATCGGCGAGAAAATAACATTGCGAGTACGCATGAGCCGACAGAGCGGCGCCTGAAATAGTTTCCGCTCCGCTGCGCTGCTGCCGGCACTTGCCAATTTATCTTGTTCGCCGAAATCTGCAACACCACCACACCTAGCGGCCAGTAAAAGAATTAGCTCGGCCAGAAAATGATCAATATGAGGATTTAATTCAAGGGAAATTAAATTATTGCGGAATACATTTGTGGTTTTTATTAATTTAAATAAAAGAATTTGGCTTTTTTATTCAGAATTGAAATGATTTTTATTAAACTTTGTCAGAAATGGTCTCTGCTATTTTTTTTTTAAATAAGTTGCATTACGCTCCGGCTTAACTCTAGTTATATTTATGACAAATGAATAATTCATTTTTTAAATTGAATTAAATTAAATCCTCCCATTTTATTTTTAATTTTTTATTAATTCCTCCCACTTAGGTTTAGTCGGACACAAGAAACCCTAGGTTTTAAAGTACCAGCAGACCGCAGGTCGCCTTTGGGGTCAGTTGTCCTTTATATTTTTTCATTTTTTCTTTGCAACGAGGTTCGCCCGGTTTCAATTTTTCATAATTCATTTTTTTTAACCTTTTTTCCCTTTTGCTATTTTGCAAAACTCTCATAAAATTTGCGATTTAATTTGACTTGAATAAAAACTGGATCATAAATCATAATCATCTTGTTATAAAGATTATAAATTTATCTTCATCGTGAAAAGAATTTTCTGGATTTAATTAATTTGATTCGAATATCGGACGAATTTTCTAACACACTTGCCACGTTTAAGTTATTTGCATAACTATTGAGTGTACCAAGCCGGATTTTGCAAAAGGTCAAAAGTTCATCAATCGTACTCGCCGCTCTTTTCGCTTAAAAAAGGGAGTAATTAATAAAATTAAATGGGAAAATTTATCAGAGCCTGCGGTCAAATATTCATAGCATAAATGTCACACGTGTTTCTATTTTATTTTAAAAAGTATATTATAAAAATCACGCGCGTCCTTGAACTCTGATATATTTGATTATTTTTTTTTCTCGTGTGTATTTTGGAGCTGAAAATGATAAAAGCGCGTCGTGTGCACAATTTAATCATATTCGCAAAATGAGAGGCACAAAATCTAGAGAGATGCTCCGTTTTTTGTTGATTTTCGTGGGCCTCGTCACCACAATTTTGGCCAACAACCCTCAGCAAATCGACACATCATCCAAGGTAAATGGCTTAAATGCATTTTTTCATCTCAATTTTATCATTCTCGTTTGAATTGTAAGTACTGAAAACTTCAGAATTCAAAATTTAAACTCAACATTTCTGCTGATGAAAATCATAGATTCAAATTAAGAATTTGACTTGTAATTTTTTTCTATTAATTTTTCCGGAAAATGGAGATCCTGGAAGAGCTGACGAAGAATGCCAATGAGACAAGTGAGAAGCTGAACCGGTTGACTAAACTCGTCTACGATCAGGAAAAGGTTTACAAAAATTAAGTCCTTTCATTGTCAAAAAAATTTGCTCTTTTTGGTTTAAATAATTTTTTCCTGGAAATTTCCATGTTTTGTCTCCCCAATTTTTAATGAAAATGACAGAAATCGCAAAGAAATTTTAGTAGTTATTGTACAAAAAATTAATAATTGACAAAGTTGTAAAGAAAGAAAGAAATTTTCACTAATTATGTTCTCATGATTTCAGACTCTGAAAAGTTTTGATCAAAAGCTGAATGATTTGGCCAAGCAGACTAATAAACAGGTTGAAATAATTGTTTCCAATTTCAATGATGATTCGTTTTGATAATATTTTGATATTTGTAGTTTGAAGACGTGAATTCCTTCGTTAGGTGTGCCCCTGATAGTAAATATAAAAATTTTTCAATGAAAACAACAATAAAATTAATTTATTGTACTTAAGGATTAGGTTTGTTGACGGCGCTGCCCAACGGCAAGAAGTACTTGTTTTCTCACTCGTCTTCCGTAATAATTAATCATTTAAATTTATTTTTTGTCTATAATTTGTGTCGTCGATCGCAGGTGGAGTGGAAGGAGGCGAACGAGACTTGCACAAAGCAAGGCCTCCTCTTGGCCACGATCAAGGACGAAGACGACGCATCCGTGATCGCTTCAGTCGGCAGAAGAATCAGTCCTCGTAAAATCCTTTTCAATTTCTTACATTTGAATTAATATCTTTTTGCAGATCGTGGTTGGTGGGTTTCGGCGAAAAACTCTGGAGGCGAGAAGAAGGATTTCCGGTGGCGCGACGGAAGCAAACTGGAGCTGGACAGCCCGTTGTGGGCACGCGACGTGGACAAGGCGGACGACTGCGTCCGCATCCACAACAAGCTGGACAGTCTCCCTTGCGACTCGCATTGGTACTTCATCTGCGAACTGCCAACCGAGTGTTACTGAATTGCAAATCAATTTTTACTTGCGAACAAACAACTTCAACAACTTAATAATATGTGAACAAATAAAATTGATAATAAGTAAAATTCAGCGCGGCGCATTTTATTTTTACGAGATGAATACTTATTTTGAGCAATGAATTTCTTTTGTTTTACTCACAACAATTTAATTTAAAAGAAAAACAACATTTCTGCAGCTAAATATGAATTTAGATTTAAATTAAGAATTTGATTTTACGTGAATTTTTCTCTATTTACGCGGGAAATGGAGATCCTGGAAGAGCAGACAAAGAATGCCAATGACAATTTCTCGGAAATTGAAAAACCACGATTTCAACCTTTTCTAAAAAAATTACGCATCTAAACGCAATTTTTTGTTCATCAGAATGATCCTTATGACCTAAACTATTAGTTTTTGTGGAGGATTTTGCTGCCCTGAGGTGGTTCCATCCTCTTTATCAATAGTTTGAATACCATAAAGTGTAGAGAGAGTTAATAACAAGTATGAAGGAGCGAATTTGACGTTTAATTCTAATAAAAAAGATCATAATTTTGTTTCGCGGGGTCAAAGGGCAGTCAGTGATAAAGGGGAGAAGCGGTTGCGAGTCAATCGAGTCAGTGCAAATTAAAAGTCTCTGACCATGGCTCGTCATTTCTTCTTGTTGCTCGCTCTTCTCGTCGCCCAATCTTCAACCACCAAGGTACCCAAAAAAAAAATCAATTGTTCAGTGATATGATAAGTTCCTTTATTAAACCTAAAAAAAGATCAAGATTTTCCAAATTGGATCCCCAGGTTTCAAAACTGAAACAATTTTTGTTTATTTAGAGCGGCGTTTGATTCGATTGAAAATTTCCTTTACTTAAAACACGATGGATTTTTTGGGTTTTTTTATTGTTTGATAGAAAAACTAAAACAGTAAAACCAAGAATGGAATTTATTTTGAGTGGAAAATCATGAAATGTGGATTAGTTCGACTTTTCTTTATAATTTCTTATTATGTTTTCAGCCCCAAGAGTCGGTTAAGCACGACCGAACGTACTGCAATGTCGCTCGTAGGTTTTACGAAAATTACTTAAAATTTAGGAATGAACTAATGACTAATTAAAATTGCTACCGTGCAGGTTCATCAAATTTGACGACGCTGTCCAACGGCAAGAAGTACTCGTTCATTCAATCTTATGTGAGAAATTGCTTTTTTTTACAAAATTCTTACAAAGTGGGTTTGGTTGGCAGGAAAACTGGAATTCGGCAAACGAGACTTGCGCCGAAATGGGTCTGCACTTGGCCACGCTCAGAGACACGAAAGACGCGCAAGTGGTCGCGGCAGAAGCCTTAAAAATTGAGACCGGTGGGCCAATTAAATTTTGAAAGAAATTGAAAAAATGAAAATGAATTTCAGGTCCGAACTGGTTGGTGTCCGCGAGGAAAAGCGAAGGAGACTTCCGGTGGCACGACGGGACAAAACTAGAGTTGAACAGCACTTTGTGGTGGGGCAGAGCGGCCAAGACGCACGACTGCGTTTACTTTTACAATTGGGAGGCTGGAAAACTCAATAGCTACCCGTGTTTCTTTAGATTTTATGTCATTTGCGAACTGCCAACCGAATGCTACTGAAAGCTGAGCTTTTCAAATAAATTTCATTTCAAAAGAAGAAGAGTGAAAAAAAATATGTTTTTCTTTTTAAATATAACCAATATAACGCAAAGACAGCCTTCTGTAAATTTTGCAAAAACAAAATTTTCAAAGAATTAAATTTTGAAAACGGCACTTTTTTAAACGGCCATTCTTGGCATGGGTTGGTTCTTAGGGTGTAAACAAACAGATCATCAGGATTTTGGAAATTCTCCAATTTGCCTCTTTTACAAGGGCCCATAATAGAAGATTTTTTTAAAATAAAAAAAGCCATTTTAAAACATTAAAAATATATTTTAACTGAGCCCGTGTTGCAGATAGCACAAAGGTTCATTGAGCGAAATGGTTGGAAATCAGAGGCCCTACAATTTATCAAGAGTGACCAAGGCCATAGGTCAAAGCTAAAGGTCACTATTCACTATTTTTTAGCGTAATTTTTTCAGTCGCTTCCAAAGTCTATAATTTTTCTTTTTTGATTCCGCAATAGCCAAAAGTTGCTTAATCATTTAGTAATAATCAAAATACCAAACATTGGTGCTTCTTATTCTTTACCTTTTTTGAGATATTTTGGATCAAAGGACGACAATCAATGTTATGTGAGTGCATTTTTGTGTGAAAAATTCGCTTCCATCCTCTGTTAGTTTTCCCTGATAGAGTCAAGACTAAATGTATAAAAACAAAAAATGATCGCTTTGGCTTTCCCTTTCCAACTATGTATCGCACATGGTGGCCAGGTTACAAAAGGTTATTGACCCTCAGTGACCCGCGACCCTTTCAAAAATAAATTTTGTGTGTGACACATGCATGGAAAGGGGACGTCAGCAGGAGCATTTGGGTGCCTAGATTTTCGTTGTAGCATCAATAGAATTGTAGTTATTTTATGTAAAAATAATATTTATAAATGAAATAATATAGTTTTGGCCCATAAAAAAGTGCTTTATTTCAAACTCGAATTTATGAAGCGCGAATATTGTATTTGTATTCTTATAGAGACAAAAGCGAGCTAGGGGATAACTTGGAATTTTCCATATATTGTCAATAAATGGCAAGAAATATTTATTTGATTCTCCTTTGGTATCAAATTTTGTCACTAAATATTCTCCAAATAAAATCAAAAATTATAAAATGTGACCTTTTCGCCTTTAAATCTTTGAGCTCTTGATTTTCAAAATAATTTCCAAAAGTAGTTTGCAAATTTAAAAATGGAGTGCATATTCTTAGATTTTTTCTTACAAATTTTGATCCAAGTCAATTAATTATTTATTAATATTAACTTCAATTGTGAAGACGAAAAATTAATTATGTTCAATTTTGGCTTTATCCCTTGTGCTTCTCATCTGAACCGCAAAGGTCAAAGTTTATCAAATGCCAATTTTAATAAGAGACTCGGCGCGTAATCTCCAATATTCATTCTTCATTTGGTGTCCCACTTGATGTAAACCAGGACAAGATATTTCTTAACATAATTTAAGCGTAAGTCAATTTTCCTTTTCACCGTTATTTGCCAAGCCAAAATTACAAAAATCATTCCTCATATTTTTATTTTAATTAATGGCGATTTATTAATTTAGGAAGAATTTAAAAATACAATAATTTTGAGACGCAAACCGTGGAAAATGAGGAAATGGATTTTGCTTCTCGCAATTTGCTGCAGTTTTTCTGCTTTTGCCCGTTCCAAGGTGAAACACACAACAATTTTTGTTTGATTCAGTTTATGGCATGATCACTTTTTTTTTATTAATTACTTAGAAAATTACCTTGAATGAATGCTGGAATTACGGAAAAAACGCATCCATTCCTCCAGGCCGATCCCCAGGTATGATAAAAAATTTAATTTTAGAAAATAATTAGCATAATTGGCAAATTAAGTCGCGTGATATCATTTGAAAAATCTGGAGATTTGAATAAATTTCTAAAAATTAGAATTGGAAATTCGGAAATATAAAAATAATTTCCACCGGTCAAGTATATAAGTTACAAATTTTACAAAATATTGTATGTATTTTCTGAAATTGCATTTCCAATCTCAGTTTTCAGATTTGGAGATACAGAAAATCTGAGTTTTGAGGACTGCGGGCGACTGAGCAACCCACGCGATTCCAACAAGTTCCCTCCGTGGCGTGTTTACCTCAGAATCGAGGGCAAAAGTTACGTTTACAATGCTGATCTTATCTCGGACCAAACGCTGATCATTCGTATGCAGAATTTTGCAATTTTTTGCCACTTTCAGAACAATTATTTCAGCATCAACCGAATCGACGCAATTGTTATATGAATTCGAGGAAGGAAAGAATATTCAAATATTAGCCGGAGATTGTACCAACAAAAATGACCAGGAAAAGTGCTTCGCGGGACGAGGTCTTATCAGCCAAAAGGTGAATTGCAAGTTTGTAATTCCAATTCCAGAGTTCTTTCAATATAAATGGTGCTTGAATCATCTCTATCAATTCACAAAAGAAATAAAAGTTTCAAACGTAGACGAAGAAATTAACGAAAAACATAATTTTATCAGTTGAAGATTGAAATATTTGGCAAATTATTTGCAGTTGCTGGACTTCAAGGTAGTGCAATTCAACTACGGAATGTCAATATTCCAAATTCACGTTTGGCGGACCGAAAAATTGAAACTGGCGCCGAGCCTGAGGCCCGTGTGCTTGTGGAATCGAGACAAGAGCATTGACGCCGAGCAAACCTTCTACTTGGACTCTTATTACGACGTAAGTACGATTAATTATGTTGGCATTTTTTCCTTCTGTTCAGCTCGGTAAATCGGCCAAATTTTAAACACCAGAACTTTCATTCGAACCCTGTAAAATGCGCATCATCAAATAATTTTCAAGTTGAAATTCAAAACTAAGAAAAGTATAATTTGTGGGTTTCTCGATTTACCTTTTTTTTTTAGTAATTAATGAAGATAATATTACGTGAAAATTTTGTACTTCTTAAATGCAATCAGGTCAACGGGATGACAAAAGCAAGTGTTCTACCTGAGGCGACGTGCTACACTGACAGCGGGAGAAACATTTCCGAATGGGAATGCAACCTTTACGGCAACGCAATCTGCACACAACCTTGTAAGTGGATTTTATATTAATTGGTACTAAACACGGAAGACTGGCTTATTTACAATTAAATGGGCCAAATACATATATTTTTATTGTCCTGGTAAAATATGAGTTTTTTCGCAGCCTCTTCAACAATGCTGTACGTGGAACGCAACAATCGATTCTACGTGCGCGCCTCGGTGCCTTTCACGTATGGAACGCGAACCCAACTTTGGCACGACATTCTTCCTTTCACCAATCAGATCGTCCTGGCGTCCCAAGACCTCGCCGTGTTTCCGCAGATTCCCGAACCGAAGCCGAAAATAGGTTTTTCAACCAAATTATTCTCTCTGTAAAAATTTAACCGATTTGATTGTTCAGATTTCGGGTCAGGGCAGAGTTTTGCCGGATGCGGACCAAAGTCAAAACAACAACCTTGGCTCGCTCGTCTGTCACGAAAAGATCATTCTTGCGAAGCGACGCTAATTTCCAGCAAGGTTCTCGTCACAGGTTTGATTTTTGAAATTGATTTTTGAAAACATTTCTAACGAGTCAGTAAAATTGTCCTTTGCACAACAAAAGAAACACCTGAAATATCTCGTAGAGAATATAGAATTTGTGACATTTTCCTTGAAGCTATCAACATTTTGAATTCTATTTGCAGCGGCGAACTGTCTTTTTAATTCCAACGGAGATAAAATTGAGGCTGTCGACTTGATCATTGAACTTGGCCCGAACAAAGAGAATCATTCGGTAATTTTGAGAAAACAGATTCACTTTAATTGAAAATTTTTACATTTAAATATATTAAAATGTAGGTTTCGTCTGTGGTGGTGCATCCCGGCTACAACCACAGCACGGGTGGTGTCAAGGACGACGTCGCCCTTGTCATTTTGAAAGAGGAAGTCGCTTTGGCGCCGATTTGCCTGTGGAACTCGGACTACGACCTCAAGGAAATCGCCGGAAGGACGGGCTCGGTGCGGAAATTTTCATTAATCAAATTTGAATTTTTAAATAATTACTTTTGTTTCACGTCAGGTTGGCAAGAGTGAGGGTTTGAAGGTGGTTTCCTACGCCGAGTGCTACGAAAGCAACAGGCACTTCTTTTCGCGCAACCTGCGACCCCTGGAAAACTTCTGCGCTGCTTTTCCTCAAAATCGTCAGTTCTTCTCTTACAACAAACATTACATTTAATTTTCTTCATTCTTTCAAAAGGAAGCGGCGCGTGCGAGGGAGAAAACAGGGGCGGATTCGTGGTTGAGAATCAAGACCGATTCTTCTTGCGTGGCGTCGCGACTGGACAGAATTGCGACCCCAAACTCTTCACCGACCTGACCTACTTTGTCAAGTGGATCGTCGAAAACACGCCGGACATCGTTGTGTAGAATTTTTGCCATGCAAAAGAAAATAAAAAGCTTTAGTCTTGGGTTAGCGTTTCAGAAGGAAAACGTTCACATTTACAAAAAAAAACCTATTTCGGCGATCAAAATAATGACATATCCAAATCAATTGAATTTGTTAAAATCTTCATAGAAATTCAACTCTAGAAAATTTGCAGCATTTTTTATTCAAAAAATTCTTTGAAAACTTTTGATAGTGATGCAAATTTTAGATAAAAAATAGTGAAATTGCTCAGCTAATGGAATATTTCACTAAATTTAAGTTGTTTGATGGGTTTTACAACTTTTATTTTAGCCCATATAAAACACACCTAGGCATTTCTCATTTTGAACGTATGCAACTGACGGCGCAGGTGAGTCACGCGGTTTGCCTACTTTTGAACCTCGTTCTTGCATAATTTTTTAAGGATAATAATAATCAGCCCGATTGACAATTAAAATCTGTTGATGATTTCACGCTCGTCATCCCTCGTAGTACCGATTGCTCTTTGAATTTGGACTTTTTCTTCTCAAAGAAAAGTGAAGAAAGGGTTTAAAACAATCAATTCTAAAGAAGCAAGGGGCAAAAAAAGCTAATAAAATTCATAAACTAATACAACATTTTCCAAGTTTGATTGAATTTTAATTTTCCACCTGACCATTTTGAAAAAATTCGCTTACGCATTGAAATTATAGAGAGCAGGAAAGAACAGGAAACGTGATGGAATTTCAAGGATGAGGAAGGTCTCATGCCGGCATTCAACATTGTCCATCAACAAACATCTTTTTACAACAAAAACTATTTTCTAAATTTATATAGAAAATGGCGATGCGTATACTAAAGGACGCCACAATTAATAATTTGCCATGCTCTATAAAATAAGAATTCTGGTTTTTTGTTTTGGTAGCAGAGGAAAAAATGCATGCATTTATAATTTTTGTGATTTTTATTTGTAATAATTAAACCGTTCATGTAATTTAGTAAAATTCTACTTCAATCAAATTTTTTTAATGAAATTTCCAATCGGCTTCATTTGATTTGGTTTTGTTTTTATTGTTTCAAATTATTTTTGAATTAACAAAGTTGATGCGTAGATTTTTACAAAATATAATGGAGTTGACACTGATCTTGGTTTTATCTAGTTCCAATTTTTTTTCGCGCAGAGAGGCAAAGGGCAAAGAGCAGTGATAAAAGCCAGAGATAAAAGAAGTCTTTTGATGAATTGAGAGCGAATCGCAATTTAATTAAATGGAAAGACTGACCATGGCTCGCTTCGCCTCAATGGTCGTTTTGCTAGTCGCCGCCGCCCTGGCCAGCCAACCTTCAACCAAGGTACTTTCATTTCACTAATTTTTATATTAATCAAAAATGCATTAAAACAACTTTGAAATTGTTGTTATGTTTTCCAAATAAAAATATCTTCTTATAAAGTTTCATAACAATCAACAAAAAAGGGGTAACGACGATGCGTTTTGGCGCAGGATAGAATTTACAAGAAAAATTATATCACAATTTTTTACCGAGCTGCATTAAAAATGGCGATAATTTATATTTTTAGCCAGAAGAATCCGAGTTTCGACAGAAAATATTGCAGAATTTGAACGAGACAAATCAAAAGCTCAACCAATTGATAAGAATCGTCGACGATCAAGTGCGAATTTAATTCAAATCAAAATTTATCATGATTATTATACAAATTATTTTACTTTGTGAGTTTTTCAGGTTGTGGAGACGCGGAAGCAAAACGAATTTTCCAAAGCTAGCAACGACCGACTTGACCAACTGGCCAGAACTGTCGACCTACGCCTCAATCAGGTACAAATATTTAATTGATTGCAGATCAGTAATGGTTTTTTTTTTTAAATCTGCCCAAGATTAAAAATTCTGCTTTTTTTTAATTCAGACGGTTGAAAGAGTTGAGCAAGAGGTGAAAAATTTCAACGAAAGTACTTTTGAGAGGATTTATCAATTGGAAAAACAAATTGATCAGGTGAGGATGAGATTATTTTAAATGATCGCTTGAAATGTATAAAATCATAAAATTAAAAATGATTTATCACCATTTAAAATATCACGAGAGATTTGAGAACTCCATTCAATGCATTAAACCAGTATAATAATCTAAATTATTATTTAAAATCAAATTTTAACGGATATGACACAGTTAAATTTGATCAATATGTGCGTTGAGACTGATTTATTTTTACAACGCTGAAAGATTTGGTAAAAAAAAATCACACCAACTAAAATAATTTATGACTAATTATTCAAATTCAAACTTTTGCTTGCCTCGGAAAAGGAAAAGCGCATGGAATTGGACGACAGAGAAAAGCTGGACGCATTAGTAAATCTCGCCGGACGTCACATTCAGGTTCAATTCTTGTGATTTTCACTCACGACTCTTTTATTGAGGAGAACAATTTTCTTCTTTTCAGTTCTCGGAACAAACTCTCCTGGCAGCCCGATGCACTCTGGCTCGTACGATATTTTCACAAACGCGTTGATTGGAAATTCAAAAACCAATTTGATTTGATAATTTTCAGGTTCGTCAAAATTGACTTTCCTGTCAAACGACAAGATGTACTTTTTCTCCTACCCAATTAATGTAAAAGTCTCAACTCGCAGCTTCTTTGTATTTTTCTATAATTTTTCTTCACCAGGCAAACTGGACTTCTGCGAACGAGACTTGCAGCAAAAGAGGCCTCAATTTCGCCACGATCAAAGATCAAAATGAGGCCAAGGTGGTCGCGGCAGAAGCACACAGAATTCATACTGGTGAGACAAGAAATATTTAAAAAAAAAAAACTTTTCTCTCATTAAATAATCGTTCTTCTTTCAGGAGCTTGGTGGGTTTCGGCAAAAAACCAAGCAAGTGGAAGTGAAAAGGACTTTCGTTGGAATGACGGGACCAAATTGGAGTTGGACAGTCCCATGTGGGTGGAGGGGGCGGACAAGAGGAAGGACTGCGTTCTTCTCTACAATGCCAAGGGGAAATTGAACAGCTGTCCAAGCAACTTTAATCAGCCTTTCATTTGCGAGCTGCCCAGCCAATGTTTTTGAGAACTAATTTGAATCAGATCCTTTTTTTAACTAAACATAAAATGTCAGATAGATTTGCAATCCTTTGTCTGTTGTGAATTCACCTTTTTTGGTGTAAAATTATTGTTTTCTGATTTGTATAAATTTTTATGCAGAAGATAACTAATTTTTGATGTGTCATATATAATGGTTGAGTATAATTAATTATGTTTTACTGATTGATAGATAGGATAAAGACAAGCAGAAAATATTCCTAATTTAATTTTTAAATCAACACCAATTATGGAATCTTTATTAATATTTTAAACATTCGAAATCTAGAGAGGAAAGCAAAAGGGTCGGAGAAGAGTCGCCGGGTCAAAGCTCTTGATGTCATTTACGCAAGTGCCGTTAACATCGCACTGAAAAAAGACTGCGATTGCGTGAGGAGCATCTGATATTGAAACATTGTCAAATCCTAGGGTGGAAAAAGGCGCTGTTGAAGAGCACCACCGTGGATTTCCGCTGCTGTTGATCATACTCGCGGCTGTCCACGAATAATCCGGAAGTGGATACAGCTCTGATATTACGTTTCGATTCGATTACAGTGGTTAAAATATCACAATACTCACCGCTATTAATCACTAGCGTGTTTACCTCCAACCGAGTTAGCGATCCAAGTTTCATACCAGCTTTGCAACATTCAATAAATGCATTTGAAAAGGTCACCTAAATGAGAATTTACTTGTTTCAAATATGCTAAGAATACGTTTGTTTTCATACATTAGCGATGGGGAAGAAGTAGTTTATACGGTTGAGAACCGCAACATAACCAATAGAGTCATTTACACAACCTAAACCATAAAAACATAAGTCAAGTTCTCACTTTATTCTTCTGAATTCAAACCATCTTTACAAGTCGTGAATTGTTGCACGGTAGTCTGGATTTTATCAGATAAATCAGAAAGTATTGATTCGGGAATTTTTTTCAATAATACGTTTACTGTGCAGCTTATCGTCGGACAAGATGCAGGGGGAGCTGGTTCAAACTTCTCCTGTTTTCGAAACAACAATGGATAGTGAAAGAATTCAAATATAATTATATATTAATTTACAAGAGTCATTTGCTCGTCCAGGGCAGTTATCGCAGCTTGAAGCATGGCCGGCTCTTGTTCATTGGAACATTTGATCATTTGTGCTGCCTGGTCGCATTCGCCCGACATGTCTGTTCATCATACAAAAGCAAATTTGATGGTTTTTGTAAAATATATTAAAAAAACCGCTTCCCGAGGCCCAGCAGTTGTCGATAACAAATAGATACCGCTTCAGCTTGGTCCAATTGCCTTTGACCAAATCCTCCAGTGCTTTTACCAAATCAGCCTGCACGAGTTGGCCATCGACCAACTTATTATTTGTAATTGTTTAAAACATCCAGTGCAATTTCAAAAATTAACTCACCAAACCCACGTTTTCTCCAACGCATTTCAAATAGCACTAAAATCATTTGCAGAAATTGAAAAATCAGTGTTAATTATTATTTCTGTTAAAAAAAACCTTGATCCGCAGATCAAACTGAACCGTGTCGTTCTTCAACAATAAATCCACTTCAGCTGCGAGTGACAATAAATCGTGTTACAAAAAACCGAAACTCGAAAAAGCAACAATACTTTGACTGACGTTGAAAATATTGGCGCATTCGTCACTAATTGCGGTGCCGCCGGTCTTGGCATTTGAATTGTTTCGCGCCTAAAGTGAATCAATAACCTTTGTAATAGTGGAATACAATTAATTAATATTATTACTTCGCAGATGTACCGCAACTTTGTCTCCTCGTTCAGGTCAACAAGGAAGATGTTGGAAGATGAGTTGATAAAAATTGCGATGCCGCTCTCGTTGCCACCTGCGTTGTCCGGCTGTCCCAACAACCAACTCGAATTGTCCCCGAGGAGACGCTTGTCGCTGCAAAACCCAAAGGTATCCTCGCAACCTTTATTAGAACCTGAGGTCCAGTAATACTCTTCGAAGAACGACCTTCCTGCAGTTATATCGGTCAAAATAATACCGAAAAAAATTAATTAAATCAAGAAAACCTTTGTACGCGCTTAACAAAGCTTGGTATTTGTAATTATACGCAAGACTCAGCAACGTCATCCCAAGCTCGCAACATTTGACCATTGCACCTTGAAACTTTCATAGCACAAAATAAAATGAATTAGACATTTTATTCATTTTATTTTCAATTTAATTTTATGAATAAGTTTAAATCTTAATTAGGTCAATGAAATAAGGCTTAATAATTTATTTTAACTTTGTTCTTCAAGTAAATAATTATTTAGGCAGAAGGAGTTTATTTTCATAATTGAATTTTTTATTAATTGAATTTTATTAATATGATTAGTTATAATTGACATCAGAGAAAAAAATTATTATTTTGAAAACGAATCTGTTTTGCATTACTTTGTTTTAAATTTTACAAATTCATTAATAATGTGGTGCCTCAAAAGAACTGACCTGAAAAATGGGCATTGCCATTGAACTAAAAATATAAGTGTTTTTTATGCTTGACTTTCTTGTGAATCATTCATTCTCATTTATTCCAATAGATACAACCGTTCTGATAAAACTTAAAAAATCCTTTTTAAAGACTTAAAGGGAAATTAGTCTTTTTGGCGCAGAAGGCATTACCCGAATTTTGTGTTAACCAATTTCGAGTTTTCAATTTTATTAAAATGACACATACTGTCTGCAGATCTTCCGGCTTGCTAAACATGTAGACTCGGCCCTTGGACGATATCCAGCCACCGTACTGATAAGCTTCTGAAATTCAGTTAGACCACAAATTTGATTTTTAAGTGAACTTAACTGTCCAAAAACTGCGCCCCAGAAGACGAAGTCTTGAAATATTTTGGCTGAAATTTGATTTTATATTTGCAAATTCCCGAAATAAATTTACATACGTTTTTCGTGCACGTAATATTCGGGCAGATGGGAAAAGAGCATTTCGGTGCTTTGGTTGGCATTGGTGGACCCTAATTAGATAATTATTTTCGTGAGCAAATCTAAAGGGGTGGTTTCACGATAGATTTAACTCTAATTGGCAAAATTTTTTCATGAAAGGACCCCATCCCGATTTTCACATATGTTGTTGGGATAGATAAGACGCTGTGCTCCCTAAAATTTCACTTAAAAATTTTGGGTGCTTTTCCGGGAAATCAAATTTTAAAAAAAAAACAGAAAATGTTGAATATCTTTGCTTCTATTTAGAAATTAAGTATGCTCTTTTCAGTTCTAGACGTAACTTTTTATGCCCGACAACCTTTCTGTTGACAACTTTTGTGTAGGTCAAAGGTCAAGGTCACTAAATTGCAAATTTCACTTTCTAACGCAATTTTCGCAAAGATGCACCCCTCAGATATTTTTTGGGGTATAGGAAAAAATGTAGCCCCAGGTGTGTAGAACAAAAACCTTGATTTTTAAAATGGGGTTGTTTTTTGTTTTTGAGATATATATAAATGAATTACAAAAATAAGTGTTTTTCGATGCAAAAAAGCTATTTTTGACTGCTTTTTAAAATTCATTTAAAAATATCTCAAAAACAAAAAATAACCCCATTTTGAAAATCAAGGATTTTGTTCTACACACTAGGGGCTACATTTTTTCCTATACCCCGGAAAACATTTGACGGGTGCATCTTTGCGAAAATCGCGTCAAAAAGTGAATTTGCAATTAAGTGACCTTGAACTTTGACCTACACAAAAGTTGTCAACAGAAAAGTTGTCGGGCATAAAAAGTTACGTCTAGAATTGAAGAGAACATACCTAATTTCTAAATAGAAGCAAAGATATTCAACATTTTCTGTTTCTTATCGCATTTTTTCGGAAATCTGATTTCCCGGAAAAGTACTCAAAATTTTCAAGTGAAATTTTACGGAGAGTATTTTCTCACCTAGCCCAACAACATATGTGAAAATCAAGATCGGTCATTTTTTGGCCAATTTGAGTAAAATCTATCGTGAAACCACCCAAAGTTAAAATAAATACTTGACACGAAAAAAAGTACGAATCGGAGCAGACGCTGGCAGAGAATTGGATCGTCGCATTGCCTTTGACCACATTCATTTGCAAGCAATTCTGGTTCTTGTTCTGAATGTCCGGCTGGTTGAACGCCCAGGGAACGTTGAGCATGTCGACCGTGACGTTTTCTTTGCCCCAAACAAAATCCTTGGGACTGACGCGCGTCGCCGAAGTCCAAAAGTTGGAAGTGAATTTCCAGTCGGAGGCTTAAATCGAATAATATCAGCAAGAAAATGAATTAAAATTTAATTATTTACTCATGTTCTTGAAGCATTCGAGTGATTTCTGTTTACTAAAAGTCAGAGGCGCCATCCCTAGCTTGCTGCAGTTGACGAAATTTTCGGTCCAATTAAGCTTTTCAATTATTATATTTTATAAAAATTGTGCGTTTTATGAATGGAAAAATGTCACCGGATTCATTGTGAACAAAAATTGGAGACCGCCGGATTGAACCCACGAGCCGTATTTGTCAGCATCTTTAAAATAATTATAATTAATTCTATTATTTAATAAAAAATTTTTACCTTTTAAAGTCCCGTCCGTATTAAAAAGATTCATCTGCAAAAGGCGTCTTCGTTAATCAGCAACATTATTATTTTGGTTAAAATTTTACGTCTTTCTTCACTTGCAAAATGGAATCGAAACTTTCAAAAACGAGCTGTGAAAAAGATCTTTCGGTAAGATTGATTCTCGTTTCAACGAATCTCTACTTTAATCTGAGGAGGAGGGGTGCTCGTTTTGATTGTACTTGTCAAAACCAGAGCCGTGATGGTGGTCAAGGTAGTCGTTATTGGGATCATTGGAGTTGCAACATTCGAGCCTGGATTTGTTGTAGTTTGGCTCGAGACGATTGTTGTGTCTATTTTACTCTTGCTGGAAGACTAAAAGAAAAATACAACTCACAATTTTAATTATCATTAAATTATATCTAAATTTATAAATTAACTGTGGCAGTTTCAGACATTTTCCCACCATTTACTGTTTAATTAATATATCAAAATCATTTAAGAAGAAACAAAATAACATTTTGGTTTAACCGATTGTTTCAGTTCGAGTTGAGAAGGTTGTTGTGTCTGTTTTACTTGTGCTGAATGACTAAGAAAATTCTAAATTTTAATTACTTTTTAAACCCCTTTAAAGTTTTATTAACCATAGCTGCTTCAGACATTTTCCCACCATCAGCTTCAAAATAAAATTATTTAAAATAATAAAAAAAAAAAAATCTTTCGGCTGAACCTGTTGTGTCGGAAGTTGATGCAATCTCAAAATTTATTGTCGTGGTTGTTCTGTTTCAATTTTGCATTTGTAGTTGATATTTTTAAAGAAATTGAAATGTTTTTACTCGATTGCATTTAATTCTGTGCTGATTTCTCCATTTGAGGCTGCAAAAGTGGTAGAGCTCTCGTCACTTGATGGGCGGTTTGCATTGATCGGTGTGGTCTTTAAATTTTATTAGGTTTGTGTTAAAATAATAATTTAAATTAACCTTTTTCGAATTTAAATTTTTTAGAGATGAAGTTGAATTTTTATGAGTGAAAGTAGACCGAGAGTTTGATGTCTTCGGCTGACACGAAGATTTACCGCAGCATTTGATAATCATTGGCCTTCTAGCGGACTTGAGGCCTTTGAAAATTTTGTTTAATAAAATTAATATGTGAACATTTTAGTTTCAAATCACGTGTTTCACCATTTTTCCTAATTTTTTGCTGCCGTTTGTTTCCTGCATTTGTTGAGACGAAAAAGCTAAAAATCTGCAGAAATAAAATTTCAATTTTGGTGATTATCAACTTTTCGCTTTGATCTACAAAAATAATTGTAATGAAATCCAGTCGCATGATCAAAGCGCTATCGACATCATGGCGCTTGGAGAGAGAAAAATTTGATATTAAACTGGTGAATTGTTTAAAAAAAGGACGCCGCAGCATCAGCTCGAAATTCATAATAAAATCAGGGCCTGCTTCCGCCCAACTGATTGCGGGAATTAATGTTGTTCCGTCAGTCCTCGTCGTGACGTCCCAGAAAATGAAAATTTTTCATGAAATTTATTATTTATTTTTTCAAATCGTGTATATTTTTCTGTTTACCTAATTTAATTAAATTAACAAAAATTTGCAACAATTGTCTAAAACTCTTCAACTGAGTTTGAGGAACCAATTTAGATAATTAAAATATATTATAAAGACTTTCACCCCCAAGCATCAATGCAACTTGAGATCAATTTTAAAACGAGAATATAAGAAAAGCAAATTTAATCTTAATACAGAGTCAATATAATTCTGCTTTGCAAAATTTTCATTTACTTTTGTAGAAGCAAACGGCAGGAAATCTTATCAAAAATTCATCAATTCAAAATTTTCCTAACATTTTTACAATTCTCCAGTGCATGTTTGAAAAGTTTTCTAATTTTCAACGCACTGCTGAAATTATAGAGAGCAGGAAAGAACAGGAAACTTGATGAAATACTCATAATTCATATCGGCCGAAGCTTCCGCTCCACACATTGTGAAATATTTAGTTTTCAATTTTTAAAAATGAAACTGCCACAGCATTTTGAATCTTGGTCTGCGTTTAATTTACATTCCTGCACGTATCATTGTGACTTGTTGCATGGGCACCTATCGCAGTCACAGTGTGAAAAAAAAACCAAGCGTTATTGAAGAACAGAGAAAAATTAATTAAGAGGTTTTGATGTTCACATAGAGAATCGTCGATTTATTTTTAATTTCAACGAAAGTCGACCAACAAAATTATTGTCTAAATAAATCAAAATGGAGATACATACATTTAAAAGTAAGCATTAGGACAATTATTTATCTGTTGTCCAAATAATTAAAATAAAAATGCATGCAAAAATCAGATTGATTACGTGGTTCATATTTGAGATAATCTTTGTGATATTTTATTTGTTCATTGAAGTACATACGAGCAATTAATTGATCTTGGTAAAAATGAACTCGAAATCTAGAGAGGAAAGCAAAACGGTCGGAGGAGAGTCGCCGGGTCAAAGCTCTTGATGTCATTAACACAAGTGCCATTATCATAGTCATGAAAGTAGACTGCGATTGCCTGAGAAGCATCTGATATTGAAACATTGTCAAATCCTAGGGTAGAAAAAGGTGTTGCGGAAGAGCACCATCGTGGATTTCCGCTACTGTTGATCATACTCGCGGCTGTCCACGCGTAATCCGGAATTGGATACAAATCTGAAATTACGTTTCGATTCGATTTCGGTGGTTAAAAAATCACCAAACTCACCGCTTCTCTTCACTAGTAAGTTTACCTCCAACTGAGTTAGTGAACCAAGTTTCATACCAGCTTTGCAACATTCAATAAATGCATTTTCGAAGGTCACCTTCAAGAGATTTTACTTGTTTACATTATGCTAAGAATAAGTTTGTTTTCATACATTAGCAATGGGGAAGAAGTAGTTTTTTAAGTTGATACCAGTGACATAACCAAAAGAGGCATTATTGCAACCTATATATACCAGAAACATCAGTCGAGTTCACTTTAATCTTTTGACTTCTAACCTGGTTGACAAGAAGACACAAAGTGCTGCACGGTAGACTGGAAATGATCAGATTAATCAGAAGTTTTATTAATTCGCGTATTTTGTTAATAATACGTTCACTGTGCAGGGTGCTATCGTTGGGCAAGATGCAGGGGGAGCTGGTTCAAACTTCTCCTGTTAAAAAAACAACAATGGATAGTGAAAGAATTCAAAAATAATTATAATTATATTTATTTACAAGAGTCATTTGTTCGTCCAGGGCAGTTATCGCAGCTTGAAGCATAGCTGGCTCTTGTTCATTGGAACATTTGATCATTTGTGCAGCCTGGTCGCATTCGCCAGACATGTCTGTTCATCATACAAAAGCAAATTTCATGGTGATTTGAATTTAAAATCGGCTTTTCCTCGATGGGTTTTTGTGAGTTGTTTATTGTTTAAGAAAAAACAATATCCTGCTCTACATGTTTCGGCTGCGGGCTGCAGCCATAATTCATGAGCTGCGAAAAACATTTTGACAAAAATTAGTACAAAATTAAATCTTTTCAAAAATTATTTTTCTTTCAAATTGACAATTTTCATGAAAAATTATTTAAATTAACATTTCTTCACAAAATAATTTTTAACATAAAATTTGACATTTAATTAAAAATATTTTTTAAAACATGATTTTTTTATAGTAATTTTGGTCAGAATATTTAAACGTGTGTTTTGAGCGTACCTTTCTCGGCGGTGGTCGAGAGAAGACTAAATTATTTTTCGGTTGGTTTTTCGGGTAAAAGATATGTTTTGGGATTGCATTGTATTCACTCGTCGCCACTGCTGTCTGCATATTTCTTTATTTTGTGCGCGGCCTAAGCTGATACCTGTGGGTGCGGATGGGTTTATTGCTCTTTTGTGCACTTGCAATAGGCGCGGCGGCACTCTTTTTCTTTCTCCTGTTTTCTCCTGGCGAGCGGAGGGCTGTTGCCGCGGCTGATTTTCTTCTCCCTCTTGGCGGCGCCGGCCACGAACACTTGCTTTTTTCTTTGAAATAATTTTTGGCCGCCTTGATGGGCTTATACCAGATTTTTTCAACCGTCAAACTCGGCTGGCTGATTGTATTGCCGATCGCCACCATGGCCATTGATTCTGCCGCCACTCTCTTTTTGTAATTTTTCTCGCGGTGAATAATGCTGGCGCCCTCAAAGTCGATATCATGATTTGTTTTTTGCGCATGCATCGCCAATTTGTTGTGATTCGGTGCATTTTCGTCTTGTGGTTTTGTTAACGCTCGCATGTGTTCTCGCACTCGTGTTTTCAAAGTTCGTTTTGTCTGCCCGATATATGCTCTATCACACGTTTTACAATTAATTTTATACACTACTTCTTTTTCCGATGGGGGAATTTTCGGTTTTACACACATTAAAAATTTTCTTAGGGTGTTTTTGCTTGTGAAGGCGATTCTCACTTTTGGGGTGTATTTATTAACCATCCTTCTTATTGCTTCTGCTTTTCCTTTCACGTATGGCATCACTATTGTTTGTATGAAGTTACTGCTGTTATCTGCGTTGTTGTTCTCCTCTGTGGCCGAGCTGGGAGGCTGCTGTGCTGCTGCGCGCTTTCTTTCTCTTTCCTGCACGATGCGCCTTTGTACATTTCGGACAAATTTTCCTGGGTAGCCGTTTTGTTTTAGGATTTTATAAACGTGTGTAATTTCTTTCTTCAACTCGGCCTCTTCGTCACAGTAGTCATAAGCTCTCTGTAGTCCTGCTCGCACCACTGTGATTTTTGTTGCTGTCGAGTGGTTTGATTTGAAGTTAAGTAGCGCGCCAACGTCTGTTGGTTTTCTATAGACCGCTGTTGAGATTTTTTCATTTTTTCTTTTAAGCATAATGTCCAAATAAGGGAGTTTTTTCTCTTTTTCTTTTTCAAGCGTGAATTGGAAGTTGCTATTTTTGCTGTTTAGGTGCGCCAGGAAATTTTCTGCGTTAAATTCATTTTTCTCGTAGATACAAATTAGGTCATCTACATATTTTTTCAGTGTTTTTGGTTTTTCTTGGAAGGTTTGCAGTGCATTTGAGAGGAAATCTTCAGTGAAAATGCTTGCCAAAACTGGTGAGATAGTTGAGCCCATTGCCAGACCTGATTTTTGCATGTAATAATCTTCCTTGAAGCGAAAATAGGTCGAATTTATTGCGAAATTGACAAGTTCTGTAATTGTTTTTGGTGACATTGTTGTTCTCTCTTTTAATGTTTGGTCACTTTCTAGTTTTTCCTCTAGTATTTTTAAAAGTTCGTCTCTAGGGACACTAGTGAACATACTGTTTATGTCAAAACTGCACATTCTTGTTTGTCCAGAAATTTCCAGCTCCCTTATTATTTTAATTGCTTCATTTGGATTTTTTATGTTGAAATTGCTTGCTTCTACGAGCGGGTTTAAAACTATTTTGAGGTAATTTTCCATGTTTCTGATTGCCGAGTCAATAGTGGAGACAATTGGCCTTAGCGGCTTTCCTTCTTTGTGCGCCTTCACAGTGCCGTAAATATAAGGGTCTCTTGGTTCAATTGTGGGGCCGACGGCTTTGGCCTCCTCTACCGAAATTTTGTGTTCTTTTTTCAGGTTTTTAATAAACTCAAGCAACTCTTTATTGACTTTGTCTGCTTGTTTTTTGTCAATTTTTTCATAGTCCGGCGCGTTTAGCATTTTTTCCATTTTTCGCTCGTATTCATTTTTATACATGAGAACTGTCCCGCCTCCTTTGTCTGCATTCAGAAAAACTATGTCTTTTTTGTTTTTTAATCTTTTAAGTGCTTCTTTCTCCTCTTTTGACAGATTTTGATGCAATTTTTTGTTATTATTCAGTAGGTTGCTAATTTCTGTGTTAATTGGGCCACTTTCTTCTGGGGTTAAAATTATTTTAAGTGACTCTATAGCTTTGATAATTTCCATCTTTGGTTCGTCTTTCTCTGATATGCAAAATTTAGGGCCTAATGACAGAACTCTTTCTTCCGTTTCAGTTAAAACCTCGTCAGTTAGGTTTATTACATTTTTAATGCATCCCTGTTTACTTCCAGATTTTTCTCTTTCCGCCGTTTGGATTAACAGGTCTAGTTTGTGTTTCAGTTTTTTGGACTCTTTTTCATTTAGATAACTTTCTTTTCTCCCCATTATTGTGAAAAAGTTGTCCAACTCTACTTTTTCAAGTGTGTGAGTGATTAGATCAAGAAATTGACGTTTTTCCGACTTACATCTGAATAGTTGTTTTCTTTTTGCTCTCAGGGCGGCCTTCAAGATCTTCAAGCTGCTTTCCCTGGCGATTTTCTCCATTTCTTTAGTCTTGTCCGGTGGTTTTATTGTGTAGTATTTTGGGATGACGTTATATTTCACACAGTTTTTTAGAAACAAAAATTGCTTTTTCACTCTAATTAACTTTAGGTACACTTTTTCACACGTTGTACACAGTTTTTTAGAAACAAAAATTGCTTTTTCACTCTAATTAACTTTAGGTACACTTTTTCACACGTTGTTAACAACGTGTGAAAAAGTGTACCTAAAGTTAATTAGAGTGAAAAAGCAATTTTTGTTTCTAAAAAACTGTGTGAAATATAACGTCATCCCAAAATACTACACAATAAAACCACCGGACAAGACTAAAGAAATGGAGAAAATCGCCAGGGAAAGCAGCTTGAAGATCTTGAAGGCCGCCCTGAGAGCAAAAAGAAAACAACTATTCAGATGTAAGTCGGAAAAACGTCAATTTCTTGATCTAATCACTCACACACTTGAAAAAGTAGAGTTGGACAACTTTTTCACAATAATGGGGAGAAAAGAAAGTTATCTAAATGAAAAAGAGTCCAAAAAACTGAAACACAAACTAGACCTGTTAATCCAAACGGCGGAAAGAGAAAAATCTGGAAGTAAACAGGGATGCATTAAAAATGTAATAAACCTAACTGACGAGGTTTTAACTGAAACGGAAGAAAGAGTTCTGTCATTAGGCCCTAAATTTTGCATATCAGAGAAAGACGAACCAAAGATGGAAATTATCAAAGCTATAGAGTCACTTAAAATAATTTTAACCCCAGAAGAAAGTGGCCCAATTAACACAGAAATTAGCAACCTACTGAATAATAACAAAAAATTGCATCAAAATCTGTCAAAAGAGGAGAAAGAAGCACTTAAAAGATTAAAAAACAAAAAAGACATAGTTTTTCTGAATGCAGACAAAGGAGGCGGGACAGTTCTCATGTATAAAAATGAATACGAGCGAAAAATGGAAAAAATGCTAAACGCGCCGGACTATGAAAAAATTGACAAAAAACAAGCAGACAAAGTCAATAAAGAGTTGCTTGAGTTTATTAAAAACCTGAAAAAAGAACACAAAATTTCGGTAGAGGAGGCCAAAGCCGTCGGCCCCACAATTGAACCAAGAGACCCTTATATTTACGGCACTGTGAAGGCGCACAAAGAAGGAAAGCCGCTAAGGCCAATTGTCTCCACTATTGACTCGGCAATCAGAAACATGGAAAATTACCTCAAAATAGTTTTAAACCCGCTCGTAGAAGCAAGCAATTTCAACATAAAAAATCCAAATGAAGCAATTAAAATAATAAGGGAGCTGGAAATTTCTGGACAAACAAGAATGTGCAGTTTTGACATAAACAGTATGTTCACTAGTGTCCCTAGAGACGAACTTTTAAAAATACTAGAGGAAAAACTAGAAAGTGACCAAACATTAAAAGAGAGAACAACAATGTCACCAAAAACAATTACAGAACTTGTCAATTTCGCAATAAATTCGACCTATTTTCGCTTCAAGGAAGATTATTACATGCAAAAATCAGGTCTGGCAATGGGCTCAACTATCTCACCAGTTTTGGCAAGCATTTTCACTGAAGATTTCCTCTCAAATGCACTGCAAACCTTCCAAGAAAAACCAAAAACACTGAAAAAATATGTAGATGACCTAATTTGTATCTACGAGAAAAATGAATTTAACGCAGAAAATTTCCTGGCGCACCTAAACAGCAAAAATAGCAACTTCCAATTCACGCTTGAAAAAGAAAAAGAGAAAAAACTCCCTTATTTGGACATTATGCTTAAAAGAAAAAATGAAAAAATCTCAACAGCGGTCTATAGAAAACCAACAGACGTTGGCGCGCTACTTAACTTCAAATCAAACCACTCGACAGCAACAAAAATCACAGTGGTGCGAGCAGGACTACAGAGAGCTTATGACTACTGTGACGAAGAGGCCGAGTTGAAGAAAGAAATTACACACGTTTATAAAATCCTAAAACAAAACGGCTACCCAGGAAAATTTGTCCGAAATGTACAAAGGCGCATCGTGCAGGAAAGAGAAAGAAAGCGCGCAGCAGCACAGCAGCCTCCCAGCTCGGCCACAGAGGAGAACAACAACGCAGATAACAGCAGTAACTTCATACAAACAATAGTGATGCCATACGTGAAAGGAAAAGCAGAAGCAATAAGAAGGATGGTTAATAAATACACCCCAAAAGTGAGAATCGCCTTCACAAGCAAAAACACCCTAAGAAAATTTTTAATGTGTGTAAAACCGAAAATTCCCCCATCGGAAAAAGAAGTAGTGTATAAAATTAATTGTAAAACGTGTGATAGAGCATATATCGGGCAGACAAAACGAACTTTGAAAACACGAGTGCGAGAACACATGCGAGCGTTAACAAAACCACAAGACGAAAATGCACCGAATCACAACAAATTGGCGATGCATGCGCAAAAAACAAATCATGATATCGACTTTGAGGGCGCCAGCATTATTCACCGCGAGAAAAATTACAAAAAGAGAGTGGCGGCAGAATCAATGGCCATGGTGGCGATCGGCAATACAATCAGCCAGCCGAGTTTGACGGTTGAAAAAATCTGGTATAAGCCCATCAAGGCGGCCAAAAATTATTTCAAAGAAAAAAGCAAGTGTTCGTGGCCGGCGCCGCCAAGAGGGAGAAGAAAATCAGCCGCGGCAACAGCCCTCCGCTCGCCAGGAGAAAACAGGAGAAAGAAAAAGAGTGCCGCCGCGCCTATTGCAAGTGCACAAAAGAGCAATAAACCCATCCGCACCCACAGGTATCAGCTTAGGCCGCGCACAAAATAAAGAAATATGCAGACAGCAGTGGCGACGAGTGAATACAATGCAATCCCAAAACATATCTTTTACCCGAAAAACCAACCGAAAAATAATTTAGTCTTCTCTCGACCACCGCCGAGAAAGGTACGCTCAAAACACACGTTTAAATATTCTGACCAAAATTACTATAAAAAAATCATGTTTTAAAAAATATTTTTAATTAAATGTCAAATTTTATGTTAAAAATTATTTTGTGAAGAAATGTTAATTTAAATAATTTTTCATGAAAATTGTCAATTTGAAAGAAAAATAATTTTTGAAAAGATTTAATTTTGTACTAATTTTTGTCAAAATGTTTTTCGCAGCTCATGAATTATGGCTGCAGCCCGCAGCCGAAACATGTAGAGCAGGATATTGTTTTTTCTTAAACAATAAACAACTCACAAAAACCCATCGAGGAAAAGCCGATTTTAAATTCAAATCACCATGAATCAACCCTCGATTGTGAAATTCTACCACAAAAAAAAAAAGCAAATTTGATGGTTTTTGTAAAATATATTAAAAAAAACCGCTTCCCGAGGCCCAGCAGTTGTCGATAACAAATAGATACCGCTTCAGCTTGGTCCAATTGCCTTTGACCAAATCCTCCAGTGCTTTTACCAAATCGGCCTGCATGAGTTGGCCATCGACCAACTTATCATTAAATTGTATTAAAAATAAAAATAACCACTACGATGTCAACAATTATCTCACCAAACCCACATTTTCTCCAACGCATTTCAAATAGCACTAAAATCATTTGCAGAAATTGAAAAATCAGTGTTAATTTTTATTTCTGTTAAAAAAAAACCTTGATCCGCAGATCAAACTGGACTGTGTCGTTCTTCAACAATAAATCCACTTCAGCTGCGAGTGACAATAAATAAAAAACCCAAAACTCGAAAAAGCAACAATACTTTGGCTGACGTTGAAAATATTGGCGCATTCGTCACTAATTGCAGTGCCGCCAGTCTTGGCGTTTGAATTGTTTCGCGCCTAAAGTGCATCGAGGAAACTTTTGTAATTGCTTTGGTTGCAATTAATTATTATTATTACTTCGCAGATGTACCGCAACTTTGTCTCCTCGTTCAGGTCAACAAGGAAGATTTTGGAAGATGAGTTGACAAAAATTGCGATGGCGCTCTCGTTGCCACCTGCGTTGTCCGGCTGTCCCGACAACCAACTCGAATTGTCCCCGAGGAGACGCTTGTCGCTGCAAAACCCAAAGATATCCTCGCAACCTTTGTTAGAACCTGAGGTCCAGTAATACTCTGTAAAATCCCACTTTCCTGCAGTTATATCGGTCAAAATAATACCGAAAAAAATTAATTATATCAAGGAAACCTTTAAACGCTTTTTTCAAAGCTTCGTATTTGTAGTTGTACGCAAGACTCAGCAAGGTCATCCCAAGTTAGCAACATTTGACCATTGCACCTTGAAACTGAAATAGCACACATTAAAATTATATAGGTTATTTGGACGATTTCTTTAGTTTTCTCAATTAAATTTTGTCAATAAATGTAACGTTTAATTAGGTCAATTATATGTTGCGCATGAATTTATTTTCATTTAGTTAATAAAATACTATATGGTCTTTAATGAAAACTCAATTGAGTACAACTTTCAACTTACATCTTGGAAGGCTAAAATTAAGATTCACAATTTATTTTATCCGTTCGCGCGACAGGGTTTTCAAAGTTTTTCACTTTTTTCTAGAATAGTCATTTATGCTAAGCACTCGGTGGTTGCACTCGGCCAGATGATATTGGGTGCATTTCTCACCACATAGCAAACACACGCATGAATCATTTTCCTCGAAACACTGTTGGCGCTCGGAACTATTGCTACAGATTTGATTATGAAAGCCGTGCATGGCAAAGCGACAAAACACGTCTTTTATCAAACAAGGGTTGTTTCCATACATCATTTCTCATTGCCGGCGTGTCATTGAATTTCATATTAAACCTATTTTCATGTTCAGAATTATAGCTCTCAAGGAACTTGACATAATTACCCGTCTCCGGGAGATCGTATTTTTCTTTCAAATCGGTAACAAACAATTTCTCATCGACTAATTTGTACACATAGGAATTTTTGTTGTATTTTGAAACTCCCATTACTATCTTAAAATATCGAGATTTCACTTTTTCTAATTTTTCAAAATCTTTTTAACTGAGATGTTGCCAGATAACTTAAATAAAATAAGAAGCCATTGGGGCAAATTTCAAATCAAAAAATTTTTTTTGCACAATCAATAGACAATTTTCTCAAATCTCCATATATATTCATCGCAGTTAGCGCATTTTCCTTTCTCCGTGCAATATGTTCAGTGAAATCTCTACCTGATCTTTGGAAGTAAATTCCTAATTATGGGAAGTTTTTTACATATTCTATTTCATGGCCGTCAATCACTATTTTATCGTCCTTTGCATATTTCCCCTTTCCTCCTGTTGTGAATTTCATCATTTTTGTTTTTGAATAGTTAGGTTTCAAATAGTTTTCTTTAGCATATTCTACAAATTTGTTCATGACTGCTTCAATTTTCTTAACATCGTCACTAACAAACACCACGTCATCTGCATAGAAATAAAAGTCTACTCCTTCGATTGTTTCAAATATTTTCACAAAATCATAGATATAAATGTTGAAGAGGAGGGGACTTGAATTCCTTGTTTGAATCCATTTGACAACAAAAGGCTCTGATTGAGATATATTCCATCATTAATACTAATAAAATCTAAGTCTAAAAATTCGGCCAGTAAATTCAATTCCGTTTTGGACAATTTCTTTTGATTTATAATTTTTTGCAACTCAGTTTTTTTCTATTTGATAAGTCAAATGCTTTTTTGAGATCAATAAAAATGGCATACATCTTTGTGCCTTTTCCATTAACGGTTTCGATAATTTTTGATTGCAATTTCTGTGCCGCTTAGAGAGTTGACTTGCCAGGCATGAAGCCGTATTGCTCCTCGGGTCTCGGGTATTATGTTTTGAAATTTTCCATTATTCTCCTGCTCAGGATTTTGTCAAGTCGTTTACATATAATGTGTTGCTGAGGCAAATTCCTCTATATGAGTTACAGTCAGTAGCATTTCCTTTATTTTTGTACAAATGTTTCATTGTTCCATTATTGCTTCGGAATTTTTCCTAATTAATTTATTGAAAAATTTGTTGAAAAGTGGAAGCATGAATTGAACAAGGGATATAATATTTTCGTTTGTAATAAGGTCTGGGCCAGGAGCCTTTTTTGTTTTTCAGTTAATAAATTAAATATAGGTTAAACGGGTTTGTTTTTCTAAATTTTATTTTATTAATATGGTTACTTATGATATAATAGCTTATATAGATTCATACTGTAAACAAACTTAATGAATTTCGAGAATCCTTAAAACACAGTGATGCAAAAAATATATTTGTTTTCAACTTCATCATTTTCCCTCACAATCAGATGTAAATTATTGTGGCTTTACAAGATCTGACTTGAAAAATGGTAACTATATAAGAGTGATTTTTTTTCTATTTCCCTGATTAAAAAGAGAATAAAATTTTTCCATATAAACTAAAACCAAATAATTGTGGATCGTTCTTCTTAATTTATTCCAATAGCTAAATAAACCATTCTGAAGGTATTTTACCGGAATTTTGTTAATCAATTTGGAGTTTTTATCTTTACTAAAATGAACAATAAACACATACGGTCTGCAGATCTTCCGGCTTGCTAAACATGTAGACTCGGCCCTTGGACGAGAGCCAGCCACCGTACTGATAAGCTTCTAAAATTCAGTTAGACCACAAATTTGATTTTTAAGTGAACTTAACTGTCCAAAAACTGCGCCCCAGAAGACGAATTCTTGAAATATTTTGGCTGAAATTTGATTATATTGGCAAATTCCCGAAATAAATTTACGTACATTTTTCGTGCACGTAATATTCGGGCAGATGGGAAAAGAGCATTTCGGTGCTTTGGTTGGCATTGGTGGACCCTAATTAGATAATTAATTCCGTGAGCAAATTTTAAGTTAAAATAAATACTTGACAAGAAAAAAAGTACGAATCGGAGCAGACGCTGGCAGAGAATTGGATCGTCGCATTGCCTTTGACCACATTCATTTGCAAGCAATTCTGGTTCTTGTTCTGAATGTCTGGCTGGTTGAACGCCCAGGGAACGTTGGGCATGTCGACCGTGACGTTTTCTTTGCCCCAAACGAAATCCCAGGGACTGACGCGCGTCGCCGAAGTCCAAAAGTTGGAAGTGAACTTCCAGTCGGAGGCTTAAATCGAATATTATCAGCAGGAAAAGGGATTAAAAAATAATATTTACTCAAGTTCTTGAAGCATTGGAGTGTTTCCTTTTTACTAAAAGTCAGAGGCGCCATCCCTAGCTTGCTGCAGTTGACGAAATTTTGCGTCCAATTAACCTTTTCAATTATTATATTTTATAAAAATTGTGCGTTTTATGAATGGAAAAATGTCACCGGATTCATTGTGAACAAAAATTGGAGGCCGCAGGATTGAACCCACGAGCCGTATTTGTCAGCATCTTTAAAATAATTATAATTAATTCTCTAAATTTTATAAAATTTTTTACCTTTCAAAGTCCCGTCTGTATTAAAAAGATTCATCTGCAAAAGGCGTCTTTGTTAATCATCATCATTATTGTTTTGGTTAAAATTTTACGTCTTTCTCCACTTGCAAAATTTGATCGAAACTTTCAAAAACGAGCTGTGAAAGATCTTTCGGTAAGATTGATTCTCGCTTCAACGAATCTCTACTTTAATCTGAGGAGGAGGAGTGGTCGTTTTGATTGTACTTGTCGAAACCAGAGCCGTGATGGTGGTCAAGGTAGTCGTTATTGGGATCATTGGAGTTGCAACATTCGAGCCTGGATTTGTTGTAGTTTGAGCCGGGACGATAGTTTTACTTGTGCTGAATGACTAAAAATAAGTTTTTTCTCAATTTCAATTTCTTTAAAATGTATTTGTAATCAATTTAATTTATAATATTGAATGTATGGATGATGTATTTGGACAGAGAATGCCCGGTGATACATTAATAAACACAATTTGCAACTAAATCTTAAATTTTACTAACCATGGTATTTCCAGACGATTTCCCACCATCTGCTTCAAATTAAAATTATTAATAAATAAATACAAAATATTTCGGTTGAACCTGTAGTGTCGGTGGTTGTTACGAGTTCAAAATTAATGCTTTGTCCCATCAGCGTGGTTGATCTGTTTCAAATTTAGAATTCGTCCTTTTTATTTTTCTCTAAACGAAAAAATTAAATTAAAATTACACAATCGCATTGAATTCTGTGCTGGTGTCTTCATTTGAGGCTGCTAAAGTGGTAGAGCTCTCGTCACTTGATTGGAGGTTTGCCTCGACTGGTGTGGTCTTTAAATTTTAATCAGGTTTAATTTGAAGAAATTATATGCATTTGATTATTCTAATCAACCTTTTTCGAATTTAAATTTTTTAGAGATGAAGTTGAATTTTTATGAGTGAAAGTAGACCGAGAGTTTGATGTCTTCGGCTGACACGAAGATTTACCGCAGCATTTGATAATCATTGGCCTTCTAGCGGACTTGAGGCCTTTGAAAATTTTGTTTAATAAAATTAATATGTGAACATTTTAGTTTCAAATCACGTGTTTCACCATTTTTCCTAATTTTTTGCTGCCGTTTGTTTCCTGCATTTGTTGAGACGAAAAAACTAAAAAGCTGCAGAAATAAATTTTCAATTTTGGTGATTATCAACTTTTCGCTTTTAACTACAACAAGAATTGTAATGAAATCCAGTCGCATGATCAAAATGATATCGACGACTGCGTGGCGCTCGGAGAGAAAATAAATTGATATTCTACTGGTGAATTGTTTAAAAAAAAAGGAAGCTGCAGCCGCTTCAGCTCAAAATTCATAATAAAATCAGGGCCTGCTTCCGCCCAACTGATTCCGTTGCCAAACTAGAAAATCATATTTTTCACAACGATAGAATTTTTATTTTTAAAATGTGCATATGTTTGTTTGCTAAAATAGTTAAATAAACCATGAAAAAGTGTTTGCAAAATCTGACTGAAGCTTCAATTTGAGTATATCAATGACAACTTCGTTGAAATATTCAAAATTGCTCGGAATGAGTGCCAACGAACGTGAATATGATAAGGGCCAATGCCAAATTTGAACCCTACAATAATTTTGCTAGCTTATTTCAAATCAGGGCCTGCTTCCGCCTAACTGGTTGCGGGAATTAATGTTGTTCCGTCAGTCCTCGTCGTGACGTGAAAATTTTTCATGAAAGATATATTTTTTTTCAAATCATGTATAATTATTTTTCAGTTTACCTAAATTAATTAAATTAACAAAAATTTGCAACAATTGCCTTTCATATCGGCCGAAGCTTCAGCTCGGCACATTGCGAAATATTAAGTTTTCAATTTTTAAAAATGAAACTGCCACAGCATTTTGAATCTTGGTCTGCGTTTAATTCACATTCCTGCACGTATCATTGTGACTTGTTGCATGGGCACCTATCGCAGTCACAGTGTGGAAAAAAAACAAGCGTTATTGAAGAACAGAGAAAAATTAATTAAGAGGTTTTGATGTTCAGATAGAGAATCGTCGATTTATTTTAAATTTCAATGAAAGTCAATCAACAAAATTATTTTCTAAATAAACCAAAATGGAGATGCATACATTTAAAAGTAAGCATTAGGACAATTATTTATCTGTTGTCCACACAATTAAAATAAAAATGCATGCAAAAATAAAATTGATTACGTGGTTCATATTTGAGATAATCTTTGTGATATTTTATTTGTTCGTTTACGTACACATACGAGCAATTAATTGATCTTGGTAAAAATGAACTCGAAATCTAGAGGGGAAAGCAAAAGGGTCGGAGAAGAGTCGCCGGGTCAAAGCTCTTGATGTCATTTACGCAAGTGCCGTTAACATCGCACTGAAAAAAGACTGCGATTGCGTGAGGAGCATCTGATATTGAAACATTGTCAAATCCTAGGGTGGAAAAAGGCGCTGTTGAAGAGCACCATCGTGGATTTCCGCTGCTGTTGATCATGCTCGCGGCTGTCCACGAATAATCCGGAAGTGGATACAGCTCTGATATTACGTTTCGATTCGATTACAGTGGTTAAAATATCACAATACTCACCGCTACTCAGCACTAGCGTGTTAACCTCCAACTGAGTTAGCGATCCAAGTTTCATACCAGCTTTGCAACATTCAATAAATGCATTTGAAAAGGTCACCTAAATGAGAATTAACTTATTTCAAATATGCTAAGAATACGTTTTCATACTTTAGTAATTGGGAAGAAGTAGTTTATACGGTTGAGAACCATAACATAGCCAAAAGAGTCATTTGCACAACCTAAACCAAAAAAACTTTAGTCAAGTTCTCACTTTATTCGTTTGAATTCAAACCATCTTTACAAGTCGTGAATTGTTGCACGGTAGTCTGGATTTTATCAGATTAATCAGAACTTTTATTGAGATTCACGTGTTTCTTTTAATAATACGTTCACTGTGCAGACTGTCGTCGGGCAAAATGCAGGAGGAGCTGCTTCAATTTTCTCCTTTTTTTTTTTAAACAATTTAATATTGAAATAATTTCAAATGAACTCCCATCAAACTGTACAAAAGACATTTGTTGATCCATGGTGTTTATCACAGCGTTCAGTGCATTTGGCGCTTTTTCATTGCAACACTGGATCATTTGCGCCGCCTTGTCGCATTCGTCTAGTCCAGCTGTTCAGAGTCAATTTTAGAGAAATCTTTCTTGAATATCTTTCAAATCTACTGGCAGAGCTCTGGCAACCGTCAACGACTAATAGGTTTTTTTGTAGCTCGGCCAAGTTTCCGTTGGCCAATCCTTCCAGCGTTTTTGTTATGTCGCTGTCCACAACTTGGCCATCAACCAACTAAATTTTAAAAAATTTTGATTCTTTTACAATGATTAACCAACACCACCTCACCACACCAGCGTTTTCTCCGATGCACTTCAAAAAGCACTGATCATTTTTACGTGCATTTCATCAATATTTTTTAAACATAATTTGTCAAACAAACCTTAATACGTAAATCATACTTGTATGTGTTTGTGAACAAAGAATAAATTTCAACTGTGACATTCATTGTTAAAGTAAATTTGAATTAGAAGAGAAAAAACATACTTTGGCTGACGTTGTAAATGATCGCGCACTCATCCCTGATTGCTGTCCCTCCACTCTTTGCATTGGAATTGTTGCGTACCTACAAGTTTTTCAAATTGGCGCTTTGTAAAAGAATTAATTTTAGTAACCTCGCAGATGTAGCGCAACTTCTTGTCCTCATTCTCATCTAAGAGGTAGACATTTGTTTCGTTCACGTAGACAGCGACGGCGCTCTCGTTGCCACCTGCGTTGTCCGGTTGTCCCGACAACCAACTCGAATTGTCCCTGAGGAGACGCTTCACAGCGCAAAAACCAAATTTAGACTCGCAACCCTTATCAGAGCCAGAGGTCCAGTAGAAATCTTCAGACGCTATTCGTGCTGATTGATCTCAGGTCAAAATTATAACTAAAAGCAGTTAAATTTTTAGATAACCTTTGATTGCTCTCTCCAGAGCTTGGTATTTGTAGTTGTACTCAAGACTCAGCAAGGACATCCCGAGCTCGCAACATTTGCCATCAGCACCTTGGAACTTTTTACAAATTAAACCATTTTAGATTATCATTATATGAATTTCTTTTTATTGTTTAATTTTAGAATAATAAATTCAAATTATTTCCTCAATTCAAGATTTCTTCAGAATTTGTCACGTACCGTCTGCAGATCGTCCACTTTGCTGAAGAGGTAAGTTCGTCCGTCGGTAGTAAACCAGGCACCGAACTTATAAGCCGCTGGATTTATTTATTGAGATCATTTGAAAATTATTGAAATATTTTGAGATTTTTACCATCCAAATACTGTGAACCAGAGGACGAATTTTTGAAATATTCTGGCTAAATTGAAATTGCAGATTAAGAAATACAACTTAATTTGAAAAAGTACATTTTTTGCACAAGTTGTGTTCGGGCAGACGGGGACGGAGCATTCCGGTGCCACAGTTGGTGCGCCCTTGAAATTTAATTAAGTTTTTACTTTTTATATAAACTCTGAACGATTTTACTTGACACGAGAAAAAGAAGGAATCGCTGCACACGCGGTCAGAGAATTGGATCGTCGAATTGCCTTTGACCACATTCATTTGCAAACAATTTTGGTTCTTGTTCTGAATGTCTGGCTGGTTGAACGCCCAGGGAACGTTGGCCAAGTCGACCGTGACGTTTTCCTTGCCCCAAACGAAATCCCAGGGACTGACGCGCGTCGCCGAAGTCCAAAAGTTGGAAGTGAATTTCCAGTCGGAGGCTTAAATCGAATATTATCAGCAAGAAAAGAGATTAAAAAATAATATTTACTCATGTTCTTGAAGCATTGGAGTGTTTCCTTTTTACTAAAAGTCAGAGGCGCCATCCCTAGCTTGCTGCAGTTGACGAAATTTTGCGTCCAATTAACCTTTTCATTTGTTTTTATATAAGTTTTGTTTTAATGTATTATTTCACCAGATTTTTTGCAAATAAATATTGGAATCCGCAAGAATGAACCCACGAGCCATATTTGCCAGCATCTTTTATAATTAATTATAATTAATTCTCTACTTTATGAAAATTTGTTACCTTTTAAGGTCCCGTCCGTTGCAAAAAGATTCATCTGCAAAGATGTCTTCATTACTCAGCAACATTATTATTTTGGTTAAAATTTTACGTCTTTCTTCACTTGCAAAATGGAATCGAAACTTTCATAAACGAGCTGTGAAAGATCTTTCGGTAAGATTTTCTCACTTCAATGATTCTCTACGTTTATCTGCGGAGGAGGGGTGGTAGTTGGGATTGTACTTGTCGTGATGGTGGCAGCGGATGACTGAAGAGATGACAAGGTAGTCATCATTGGAGTTGCGACATTCGAGCCTGGATTTGATGTGGTTTGAGTCAAGACGATTGTAGTGTCTATTTTACTTTTGCTGGACGGCTTAGAAAGTTTACAAAAATAATTAATATAAACTCGTATTTAATGTTTTATTAACCGTAGCAGTTCCAGACACTTCCCCACCATCTGTCGCAAAGACAAATTTTATCAAAATAAAACAAAATATTTTTTATTGAACCTGTCGTGTCAGCGGTTGATGCAAGTTCAAAATTTTCTGCCGTGGTTTTTCTGTTATAATTTGCAATTAATTATTTTAAAACATTCAAAAGAAATTGTAACTCGATTGCAATAAATTCTGTGCTAGTTTCTTCATTTGAGGCTGCAAAAGAGGTAGAAATCTCATCACTCGGGTGGTTCTCAGTAGTTGTGGTTCCTTTCTTTGTCTCGATCGGTGTGCTCTTAGAATTTTGACCAGGTTAAAGTTCAAAATACATGATTATTTAAAGCAACCTTTTTTGAATTCACATATTTGAGAGATACATTTTTATCAGGGACGGTGAACCGAGTTTTTGATATTTTTGGCTGACATGAAGATTTACCGCAGCATTTGATAATCATTGGCCTTCTAGAGGACTTGAGGCCTTTAAAAATTTTGTATAATAAAATTAATATGTGAAAATTTTAGTTTCAAATCACGTGTTTCACCATTTTTCCTAATTTTTTGCTGCCGTTTGTTTCCTGCATTTGTTGAGACGAAAAAGCTAAAAAGCTGCAGAATTAAATTTTCAATTTTGGTGATTTTCAACTTTTCGCTTTTAACTACAACAAGAATTGTGATGAAATCCAGTCGCATGCTCAAAGCGCTATCGACGACATCATGGCGCTCGGAGAGAGAAAAATTTGATATTAAACTGGTGAATTGTTAAATAAAACAGGAAGCTGCAGCATCAGCTTTAAAAATTCACAATAAAATCGAGGCCTGTTTCCGCTCAACTGATTCCGTCGGTAAGAGCCATGCCATACTAGAAAATGATATTTTCCACAAAGATAGAATTTATATTCTGAAATTGTGCATATTTTTTTGTTGGCTTAAAGAAATAAATAAACCATGAAAATTTATTTGCAAAATCTGACTGAAGCTTCAATTTGAGTAAATCAATGACAAATTTGTTGATATATTCAAAATTGCTTGGAACGAATGCAAACGAACGTGAATATGATAAGGGCCAATGCCAAATTTAATCCCTACAATATAATTTTGCTTGCTTATTTCCATATTAATTTTTACAACAAATGTGTCAAAAAAATGTATTATTTAAAAGGTATTATTTATTTATTTTAGTCTATGTTGGAATAATTTGCTAAATTTCAATACTCACGGAATTTATAGCGAGAGCAGGAAAGTACAGGAGGCTTGATGAAAGCAACAAACTCATATATTCCATCCGCTCTGCTCATCGCGAAATTAGTTAGCTCCCGTTTCAGGTTGGCCAGGTTGCACTTGCCCATGCCAAAAAAAGCAGCGAATTAAGAGGAAACTGCGATATCAATCGCTCACATCTAGGCCAACTTTTCTGACGAATTTTTGAACAAGACGCTTGATTTTTTTTTTAAATATTTAACACACTGTTTCTATAAAAAAAAACACGTGCGAGTAAGAAGTTGATTAAAAAAATGAATTGCGGAGACAGGAAAAGAGAAGTTTTTTAATGAAGAACTGGGCTTTTTAATTTGAAATTGATATTTACAAACAATTTTTAATCAAATTATTTTCAATATTAAAACGAATAAATTATTTGTGCATTTCACCTCTATTTTATAATACTTTTAGATTTGAAATTTCATTAAATCAAGAACGACGTGTGTTAAAAACAAGTATTTAATTTCTGATCTTTGACGTTAGTGCCAAATTGCAAATATTTACGCAATTATGTAATGAAGTTCAACATAAATTTAAATGAGATTTATATGCAAATTTAAAATTATTGTAACTGGAGTAAAATTAATTAAATGATAATTAAAACAGCGTCATACATTTCTATTATTAAATGAATTTATTTCAATATCACTCCTATTCTTTCTCTTTAAGATTAAAATAATATTTTCTACTCATTACTTGAGAATTTTCTTATGGTTTGCTTCGGCTACGTGCCAAGGCCAGTAAAGATCATCTTCAAATCGCGTGACGTGCCTTTTTATCAGCTTATTTTTGTGTGCTTTGCCCCGAATGTTTTTCTTCACATGAGAGCAACACAACACATTTAATTCTGAATGGGTCAAGTTTGGCAGAAGATAAAAGTCTTGGAGTCTCAACCGTAGTCCATTTAAAATCTAACTTTCATCAAGTTTATATAAAAATATGCGCAGTTTGTGCATCTCTTTTGACATTCGTGTCTAGCAAGTTGCATCATTCCAGAGATTATAACGACACCAAATACAAAAAAATTGTTACCGTTCTTTGTTTGCGAGTTTCCCAGCAAATGCTACTGATCGATCCATAGCAAAAACGTTTAGAATTTTGTTAAAATACTCGCTTTTCTGAACAAATTTAAATAAACACACACGTTATAGAAAAACAATTGCTCATATTATTTTCCATCAAAAATAAGAATAAAAATAATTCACTAGAAAAAGGAAATTCATTTTGTTAGCAAATAATATATTGGTAGTTTAATTTAAATCTAATATTTTTTATTGATCATTTGATAATTATATTGAATTACTTTGAGATTTGTACCATCCAGCAGACGAATTCTTGAAATATTCTGGCAAACATCACAAAATCGAGATACATTTTGTTGAAGATTGGTCAGCCGAGCTGGTGACGAGAAAAAGCCCTGGTCAGTCTCTTCGTTCACTTTCACTAGTTAATTGTGCGTCGCTCTCCACTCCCGAGCATTGATGTATTTGGAGCTGGCCATGGAGACAAAAACAATCTCGTTTTTGATAAACACGTGTCCTGAGTTGAGAGCGGATGTTGCGTGCCTGTTTTGTGGTTTCCCATGTATTGTCAGTGACAACTTCATGACGGTGCCAACTTCCACTTTGTCCTAATTTGTTAGCGCTAATCGTGATGTACGGACCGGGCAGAAAGATGCAGCCTGGCTACTGGAGTTTGTCTCTTCTTTCTACCATCGCTCTGATATTATTGATGTCCATGGTAAGATTCATTTACGGGCAGAGCAAAAGGGCTCTTGAGAATTCGAAAATTCTGACCATAGCTCGCTGGTCAGGATGCATCGTGATAAAAACTTCAAATTTTATCTTAATTTTTATGATGCGGCTGTAAATTCCTACTCTTTTGCAGTTACTTAAATTTAGAATATAAATCTAAAGTATTTGTCGTTATATCAACTTTACAGATTTCCTGTGATTGCAAAAGAAACCTGAGGAAAATGCAGACGAAACGAACATTAACATCAATAAGAGCGTTGAAAAATAGTATGAACAAATACATTGGAATTTGAATAACATAAAAACAAAAACAAAAAACTGATGATTTTGCCTCCTCGGCAGGCAAACGAATGTATGTTGTGAAATGCTGCGGGCGAAGTCCTTATTGCTTCAGTCCCATCAAGAAGCATAGAAACGTGACCAAAATAATCACCACAGCAGAAACTGAACGATTTGCTAAAGTTTATTTTTAATTCTATCTACAAATATCCATTACTTTGGAATTCATGGTTAGATGTCCACACCACCGAGAATTGATTCAGTTGAAACTCAAGAGACCTCTGCAATAACTGAAGAAACAAAAATTGAAACGGAATCATCTGATTTGACAACAACTGAAAACTTTGATCAATCACAAGAAGGACAGGAAATCGAAACGACAACTTTTACAAGCGAATCTTCGATTGACTCGAAAGTTGTTGAATCTTCACCGGCCTCTACTTCTTGGGCTTCGACGACTTCCATGACGACTTTTGAAACTACTTCATCCTCAACTTCTTCAACCACAACTACTGAAGTCCCCACCACTTCTCGAACGACAACAATTCCTCCAGGCGTAAAATTGGTTCTGCTAATTTAGAAATTAATTTAAAAATAGAAACAGAGCCAGGATATTTTTTTATGATTTTAATTGTGCTTTTTTCTTCAGGCCCTTTATAGCTGTGAAAATATGTTGTGTGAAAAAAACGTAAGACTAAATCATCAAAATTCCGTTTTTAATTATGCGAGTCCAACTCTGAACATATTGCAGATGTCGCTGCTTTCACCTGACAGTGGCGTCGTCGCTGGTACAAAACTCATAACATGTTATTTTAATTTAATATTCACCCTTTTAATTATAAAGATGCTGAAAAATATGGTTATTGGAAAGAGGCATGCGGCATGCTTTACTTATTCGGAAAGAGCGTGGTAATGATTGTTTATCAGAAATAGGAAATAATTAATTGATTGGCTTAAAATGAAGCATTTAATCCTCTCACTTTTTAACTACAATTTTTTTACAATTGATTGAGCCTTTGCAATGCTGTCAATTAGTGGGAAAATGATTTCTGCTTATCATTGTTGAGTTTAATCAAAATGAATTCTGAACAAAATTGTAATGGAAATGTGGTTTTCATTGGAATAATTATCAACTCACATATGGATTTGGACTTTGCTTTTAAGATCGACTGGGAGACAAATGGGAAAAGGTGTTGCAGCCTCGGAATGGTTCCAATCGCGATTGAATCTGACGAGAAACTCGCGTGCCTAAATAAATTAGTCGGTGTGGATTTCGCTTTTGGTTGAATTAAAAAGAAATTAAGTAAATAATTAATTTGTACAGCGAGTTGGGATTACCCGGCCAACTACTGGACGTCCGGCCGGCGACTGTGGCCCAACGACACTTTTCACTTTTGCCTGCCAAAACCCCTCTCGACCGTGAGTTCCTCTTGGGCCTCGGGTCAGCCGGACAACGTCAACAAAAGCGAGGATTGCGTCCACCTGTACGTCAACAAGACCGGCATTTCCATGCAATTGACCGACGAAAATTGCAACAGTTCATACATTTTCGCGTGCCAGGTGAAATTTTAATTAGAAAAAAATTAAAAGATTGTAAAAAAGAAAAAAATAGGGAGCACCAACGCCGGCGCCTCCTTGCTCTGCTCCAGTTTGCCCTGTATTAAATTGCTTGAAAGACGTACTAAAATATTTTAAATTGGAAAAATTGCTCAAATTATATTTTTGCAGACTTCTCGTTTCTCCTTCTTGGCAGATCAAAAAACGCAGTATTTGACGAGTGGGAAATTTAGAAAAATTAAAATGTTCTTTTCTTCTTTTCTTGGATTTGTTTTTTAGACCCAGCAGCATACGGCCTGTGGTTCACCGTCAACGAGAGGACGTACTTGTTCAGCACTTCGGCCGAGTCCGTAAGCAAATTAATCAATTCTGAAATTAATTGTTTTAGTTAAGTTATGGACCTGGAGCGATAAATTTCAAAATTTTCCTTAGTAAAATTCTTGCAATCTCAAACATTTAATGATGGAGACGTTTTTTTGCGTCATAAAATTTTCCATAAAATAATTTAAAAATTGTTAATCTCTCGCAGTGGTTGGTGGCGAGCAAAGAGTGTTGCAAACTGGGAATGACGCTGTTGAGCATCGAAAACGACTTCGAGTACGCCAATCTGCAGGCGGCCGTCAATTGTAATTGAAATATTTTTCACTCTAATATAAAAATTAATGAATCATTGAAGCGAACAAATCGATTCCGGGCGGCGCCTACTGGACTTCCGCTTCGGACGAAGGTTGCGAGAGGTCGTTCGGCTGGTGTTCGGTCAATCAACTGCTTTTCAAAGCTGTTTGGGCGCAAAACAAGCCGGACGATCGCGCCGCAAAGAAAAACTGCGCCATCGTCCTCGTGGACACGGAAAGGGCCGAGCTGCACGACCAAGACTGCTCCACTTCCTTCAAATACATTTGCGAGGTGCTTCGTCCATTATTTTATTAATATGATAAATTAATTTTTGATTCGAATAAAGGCTCGAGACACTTCAAAATCGACAACTTCGGGCAGCGCCATCAAAAACGAGTGCGCCGCCGTTTACAACGTGTCCGACGGTAACGAACAAAAATAATTTAATCCGTCGACAAAATGTCTAGAAAGACAAACAAATGTGTTAAATTTTCTAAAAATTCCGCTTCCTCTTCAAGTGGAGATGGCAGGAATTTTCAACTACACCAAACTCGACACTCGAATCAAGGTAGATAATTTTTTTAATTATTTATTTGTATCAAATTTCACTTGTGTGAATATTGAGAGGGCTAGTTTTTAATATTTTTAATAATTAGTTTTTTTTTATTGGTCGATTAATTAGGAGTATTATTTTATATCCTTTAGAATTATATTTAATTTTATATTATATAATTTGGCATGCTAAATTGAGAGATTTAACATTATAAATTGCGAGATTATTTTATTATCAATTATACTCGAGTGTGCGCTCCCTGCTCGTCAAGAAAGAAGAGACAAGTTCGCCGCTCCCCCGAAGTCCGTGCGCCCTACCGGTTTGCTCTGTGTCACATTAATTATCTGTCATGGACGTCACGTGATGCATTCCTAGATTTTAGACCACCCTTATTGGCTTTATTTTTAAAGTTAGGAGGAGTTTTTCTCCTCAAAATTTAGTTCGGGAAAATAAAAATCAGACCTCGTTCACCGGCCGTCAAACGCAGATCTCCAACTACAATTAGCCGTTCAATAAGTTGTAATTGATCTTGTTGAATACAAAATTGTGTCAACCCCAGGCGTGTTCATCCTGCCGCCGCACTCATTTCAGAGAAAAGGTTTGCATATATTTTGCGCTAATTGTTTGCCCATTGTGTGTACTTTTATATATTGTCTTGCTATTATTTTTACTCCGTTCTCTCTCTCCGAATCAAACAAAAAGTTCATCTCTCATAAAAAAAGATATTGTTAGTCTGAGGACAAGGCTCTTCTAGAGGCTTGGGCCTGTTCATTTAATTATAAATTAATATAAGCAAGACAGGAAATTAATTCTCGCAATTAAAATCCATCTCTCAATCAAATTTACTTTGTATGTTAATTCATAAATCATAGTTATTTGTAATATTAAAAAGAATATTTACAGTGGAAACACAACATACTAAATTAATTAATTATTGTGCAATTAAACGAATTGAATATTTCAAAATAATTAGCTAGCAATATTAATAGTTATTGAACATATATCAATACTTGATTATTTTATTTGTATCAACCTTGCAATCAACAGAATAAAAATCCTCTAATTTCACTGTAAGAATTAGCCAATTTAAATTGACAAATAAAATCCTTTAGATATTAAGAAATTGAAACACAGCAATTTAAAACTTATAAATAAATAAGACCGCTATATAAATTTAATATCTATTTATATCATAAATAACAAAATTGCATTTTAAAACAGACCAATCGATCATTCTGAAAGTTCGTAATCTGACAATATAATTGAGACGTTTAAATTAAATAATTTAAAGCATAACTTTCAATTTCGCTTTCCGTGAGAGCGACGCTTTCTCAAAAGCGCGCCCTTTTGTAGCCGAAGCGCTTGACGACAAAAGCAGGAGAAGCCGCCGCTTCCTTTTCTCACACATCTGGCCAAAACGCACCCACGCTCCGCGTCGCGTTTTGTGTGTATTGACTTTTGTATTACCGCCACTTGATAATAGTTTACATAATAAGCTAATCTCCTTGTGACGTCTCAATAGTATTGAAAGAGGACGGGCGAGCGCGTCTGAATCTGGGGCCGTGCTACATTATTTGACCATTTATAAATATTAATTAAGGAGATATATTTATAAATAGTTAAATAATTAATTAATTAAATTGGCCAACCCCCAGGTTCACGTACGTATTTACATGGTGTCAGAATAATTACCTATCGCGCGAAAACAATAAATATTATTTCAATTTCTTTTAATTTACAAAAAAAAAATTAAAAAAAAAAAAAAAAATCATAATCAAAATTTTTTCAAATTTTTTTATTTTTTATTTTTATTTTATTACTCTCTTTCTTAATTTTATTTTATTTTATTTTTTATTTTTATTCAATCAAACATTTAATCAAATAAAATAAAATTTTTTTTCTTTTTTCTTAATTTAATAATTAAACACTATTTTCATAACAGAGAAAATAAGTTGAAAATATTTTCTCAATAACCTCAATAAATTTTATTTTTATCTTTTATATTATTGATTATTTAAAAATTGGCAAGCAATTTTTATCATTACAGTGATTTTATCAAACTTTAAAATAGGTAAGCAAAAAACAAAAAAAAAATTATCCAAGATTCGTTTGCACAAAAAGTTTTCAGTTGAAAAAGAAATTAATTGATAAAAAATTACCAAGTTCTGACAAATTCGAAATGGCAGTCCCGCCAGCACCGGTTATTGGAGGGGAATTAGTGAATCTAATTCCTACTTATTCGGGTAAGCCGGGATGCACGCCGCATATCACAGAATTCTTAGAATGTATTGAAGACATTGGCAACAATTTAAATTGGACTGACACAATAAAAATATGCGTCGCAAAAAGTAGACTGGTCGACCGCGCTAAAACTTTACTTTTCCGAAGCTCGTATAATGAAGAAAAAAAATGGGATGATTTTTGTAAAAATTTAGTCCAACTTTTTATGAAATTTGAATCTTTAACTGAAAAAATAGCAAAATTTTCTCTAACTCGACAATTACCGGATGAACCTATACTTGATTTTGCCGCACGACTCCGTTCAGTTTATATAAATGCCAGACCTCCCAATAAGAAAGCAACGGCTGCCGAGAAAAAAGTTTACGACGAAATATTAAATGAGCAAATTATGGCTCAATTCATTCAAGGGATTTATGAAGAGGATCTCAGAAAAAGAGTGATCGCTCATCATAAAGATTCATTTAATGAAGTTTTGCAAGCCGCAATAACTGAAGAAAGCGATTTTCGCTTAAATAAAATGTGTTCCCGCCAAGCTGTAGTTATAAATGCAGTTTCGTATATGGACGCACATGACCATCTGGATTCCATTGAACTAAAAAACAGAAGCGCAGTACAAAAAGGTCCGCGTCTTGACTTTTCAAAATTGTCTCTCGAGGACGACAAAAATGAGCCACCCGCAGTATTGCCACCCACCCAACCCACCAAAAGCCAGCCAGCTCCTGTCGCTGGGCCATCTAATGTTTCCGGCCAGCAACAGAACCCACCCCAACAGCACCCACCCCAGCAAAGACAAAACTTCTCTTCTTATAGAGGGAAAAATAGATACAAAGGACGTGGCCGAGGCCAACAGAACAACGGTTTTCGTTATTTCCCGCCGCGCTCTTATTATCCTCCGCAAGCGTTTAATCCGTATGCTTTTCAATATTTCCCTAACCAGCAGTCCCAAATGCAGCAGCATCAAGCGCCACATTTCGGACAACAAGCTTTCCCAAATTCTGAAAACTCAAACACATTAAAATGCCTCTATTGTGGAGACCCTTCCCACGTCATGAGAAATTGTCATAATTTTAAAGCAGATGCTGAGAAAAGGACGCCAAACACATCCGGTCAAAAAAACTAGAGCTGTCTTTTTCTTTTCAGCCCACCTACTTAGAAAAAGACATAAACGCACAGGGCACTCTTCCCGCCGAAAATTATTTTCTCACCGAAAATGAAAGAGATTTATTGGTTGATTTTTTTATAAGAGAAACAGCTAAAGATTTAATAAATATTATTAAAGATTTAAATGTTCCTTATAAAATCAATATTTCCCATTTAAATTCTTTCTTTAACGGTGGAAAAATAATTAGCGATGTATATGTAATTAAAGTAACAATGCCTCAATCAAAAAAAAGAAATGTAAAATTACTTCTTGACACTGGCGCCGCCGCATCAATTTTCAATAAAAAATATTTATTAATGTCCAAAGTAAAATGCAATAAATTTGATGTAGATATAATTGGCGTAACAGGAAATAAATTAAACTCAGAAGGAGTTGCTAATTTAAAATTCAGTTATCAAGATTTAAATTTTGAAAAAGATTTCATAATTGTAAATGATGATATCAGTCTGCCAGTATGTGGAATTTTAGGCACTGATTTTTTCCGAATTTTCTCTGCAGTACCAATTCTATCAGAAAACATTTTGTTCGTATATAATAAAAAGATTCCAATTTATCCATTAAAAGCCAATGATCTTAATAACGAGGTGACTGTAAATAATGTAAATTCACGGATCCAAAATAATGTAAATTCTTTAGCCTCCTTTGATTTCTGTGGCGGAGCTCATAGAGATAAGAAGGAATCAGAACTTGCAACTTTTATTAGAAAAGATTTACTGCTCAATTTATCCCCCAAAGAAAAATCGTCTTGGCCCCAAGCTACCAACGCATCGGTTGAGCATACTTCTTTTCGAAACGAGGGACAAATAGCTCAGTTGGAGATGACGAAAGAGGACAGAAAGAGCTCTTTTGCAGAGCGAGGGACGGCAAATCGTGGTGTGTTGCCGCCAGCCTCAATACAAACGCGCGCGTTTAATAATGAAGATAATGATAATAGTACTCAAAACAATGAAAAAGTCAATCAACGTTACGGATTAGACTATTTTATTACTGCGTTTAAGTTACAACAGGATGAGCATATAAAAAATGAATCTGCCTCTTGTCCATTGGATAGCGATATCACTCTGGATTATTCTGATTTTGAGGAAAAAAGTAACGACACCATAAAATACACTAATTCAGATAAAGTAAAAAATTCAGACACTAAAGAAATTTTTTTTTTCGAAATTCAAACTTTCCCATTTAGATCCCGCGACTAGAGAGACCCTTATGGCTCTTCTTTGGGACAAAAAAGATGCTTTTATTGACGAGACAAAAAATGTTCTCGTATGTACCTAATTTTGAAGCCGAAATCAACGTCGGCGACACAAAACCTATATGCAGCAATTTTTATCCAGTACCGATTAAACTTAGAAATGTACCCAGCCAGTCCTCAATCTGCTAAGAAATAGCAGATCGCATCCACTAAAAATCTTCTAACATCTTAGTGTGATTAGTGCCCCACAACGGGAGTAGATATGAATCTGCTATGAGAGCATATTTTTGTTCCACTAACATAGAAGACGGAATCTTCTATTAAGGAATTTCTTAGTGGATTTGATAGTGATTTCACTCTACTCTCATAGTGGATTCAATATGGCGGCCACTTGCTTAATAGTGGATTGATAGTGGTATT